ACCGACGAGCCTAACGCTGACAAATAACAGCAGTTCTTTTGACACGCATCGAATCAGATCCACGCGAAATCAACCGACGGAGAGAGAAGGGAGAAGGGGGAGACACGGAAAGTGAGACCTGGCTGAACTTGAGGGTGTGCTGCTCGCCCACGAGCAGCACAAAGAAACCTATAACAGCCGCAGGAACCTCTCTCCGCCCCCACAAAGAAATCCCGATTCGTCGGGGCGCCGGAAGCCGAAACCCTAGGAATTCGGCGGCGGACCCAGGCGGCGATGCGGAGACCCACGCCCGCCCCGGCCCGACTCGATCCGCGTACCCCGGACGCCGAAGCCCGCGCCGCCACAAAGCCCTCGTCCTTCGCAGGTGAATCGGCCGTTGGAAACGCGAAAGGGGGCTCGCCCAAATGGGAGACAAACGCCGAGAGAGAGAGAGAGAGCGAGAGGGGGAGGGGGAGGCCGAGCGGCCTCGCCCAGGTTTGGCGGTCGACCTCGCAGTCGCCCAGATCTGGGCGACGGCGAGGTCGACCGCCGGCCAAGGCGAGGCCGAACCTGACCCCCCCCCATGAAGGCGACAGGAAAATCCAGAAAAGAGAGAGATGAGGGGAGATCGGAGCTTACGTGGAGCAGGAGCGAGCGAGCGAGCGGCCGTGGCTTCCTCTCGGTCGGAGCGAGCGAACGAGCGGCTGGCTTCTTGACAGCGACAGAGACTACAGAGAGAGACGGAGAGTCTTCCGGAGACGAGAGACAGGCGGGTGATTCTGAGTTTTGTTCCAGACAAGAGAGACGGGCAGCAGATCTCAGTGAACGAGTTCCTCAGAAATGGTTCTGAGTTTTGTTCAAGAAATTGAAAACCAACTTTTTTTTTATTCTAATTTTTGGTTCAGAACCGGTTTTGGGACAAAAATTTGTCCCAGAAATAGAAAAATAAATTTGCGTTACCAAACGGGTTTTTGGTCCAAAACTGATTCCGGGAACAAAAAACCAGTTTTGGACTGAACCAGAATGGTTATCATGCAGTACCATAGTTACCTGGATGTCTCATCCCATAATAGAATTTTTGTCAAGGCTTTTGCTTCTGCTCTGTATATTATTCGATTTTGATCTAACTTGTTGCCTTTAGCACAGGTACTCTCCTATTTTTTAATTAATTTTAAGACTTAAGTTATGTACTTAGCAACAAATACTTTCCTAATGTTTGGATTATTGCATGACTTGTTGCAGTTAAGAGCATCCGAAACTTAAATGGACATAGCATCGGGCCCTATCAAATCCATGCTGGAAAATCTGTGCCCACTGTGAAGGGAGGTGAGCAGACAAAAATGGAAGAGGGTGAATTTTTCGCGATTGAAACTTTTGGTTCAACAGGTAAATCGCCTTTGCATTTCATGTTGGATTATTATGAGTTTGTGTCAATGTCCTGTTAGGGGTAACTTTGTTCTTTTGCAGGAAAGGGATATGTAAGAGAAGACTTGGAGTGCAGCCATTACATGAAAAATTTTGATGTTGGCCACATCCCGTTGAGGCTGCCCAGAGCAAAGCAACTCTTAGCAACAATTAATAAGAACTTCTCCACCTTAGCATTTTGCAGACGTTATTTAGACCGGTTGGGTGAGACCAAATATCTTATGGCGTTGAAGAACTTGTGTGATGCTGGAATTGTGCAGGTGAAATTGATTTAATTTGTTTTATTATCAAGTTTTTAGATGACATACCATTGGGCCAACTTTTTACATGCCCTTCACTGGACAAGGTGATGCTCTGGTGTATAAATTTGGTATTTTGTTCACATGCAGCCTTTACCACCACTTTGTGACGTGAAGGGGAGCTACGTTTCTCAGTTTGAGCATACCATCCTACTCCGGCCAACTTGCAAGGAGGTTATATCCAGAGGTGATGACTATTGATCTTCTGTATGTAACATGGCAGTGAATACCAAGAAGATATAAAGAATTACATGTTAGCAAGATACCGTTGGGCATTTACTTTGATTTTGGGATGTTGGATTTCTGTTTGTTTCCTCCATCTCTCGTCCGAAAATGGTATGAAATGGTTCAAGATATATGAAGATTCTTCTTCTGGAGTTGCTTCAGTATCGGCTCTGTTGAACTGTTGAGACATATTATGCGGTAGGGGAGTGGTAGAAAATTTGCTTATAAGCACATTGTGCAGACCGTGACTTGCTTTAATAATTTACGATTGGACGTGGATAGTGTTTACGGACATTTTTATTTTATTTGAATAACTGGGCCGACATCTCTTTACGTAAATACCATAATACTTTTATTGACGTCCTTGGCTTGTAACGGGATAAATGCGTTCGACCTTGTTCTTAGCATTTTCTGAAACTTGAGGTGGAAGCTTTCGGAATTTAGGGCTGCAATTTAGTTGGTTAAAATTCTCTTGAAGTTTTATGTACGACTATTGTAGAATACTTGCACATGAGGCCTTTGCAGACGCAACCCTACACACGCCAAATCAATTGAACTTATGAATAGATAAGCCTGTAAACATTTTTAGATATACAGATGTACCCTTGGACCATAAAGCTCCCTATCTGATGGTGAGAAGTTCTTCTGAGTTGCATTGGTTAAATGTTTTTAACTTATGTTGAACAACAGTACAATGACACCCCTAATGCTAAGGGCCTTGGATAATAATGCAAGAATGCACTAATCCACACCAACTTCGACAAGTCAGTTCCGTGTCCTATCTGAAATCTAATCGGTCATTCACTATCCTCTTGCTTGCTTGGCGACGATTTTCTTCAACGAAAGGGATAATTTGTTCGTATAAATACGAGAGTCCACCTAATTATTGGATCCATATTTTATATTTATTTTCGAAAGGAAGTGATTGATCTTCTCGCTTTTCTACGGTCGAGAGCATGAGTGCCACATGTAAAGCAGATATTAATGTCGGTCCATTATACAATGATCGAGAATAAGTGTCTTTGTACATACATTATTACTCTTAGATATAAAAGAAAAGCCAACAAAAAGGAAAAGGCAAATGTCTAATTGCCAAAACAAAAATAAATATGTAAAACACCGGAACTTTCAAAACTCACTTTTCGATAGTTTTTTATGATGGATAGTGGAACAGCAAACATTTCTGTCAGTATGACAAAAAAGAACATTTATGTCGGTAAAATCATTTTTACACACGTAAAACATAATTTACCATAATTTCTGAAACTTCAAGACACAAGTTTCATTTTAAAGTACTTCAACATGCCAAAATTAGGCCGACACTATTCACGAAAAACACAAAAATATTAACTTTCCATCTACCGGGAGTAACAAAATCCCTAGTATGCTATTTTTACCAGAAATTCACGGAGCGTTGTGCCCTATACAACCGTGAAAATGGCATTGAAATCCAACGTCAGAGTACGCCATGAAGTTGTTTGAAGAACCTCCTCTCGCAAAGGACATGAAGTTTCCAGATTTCCTGTCTTCCAGATGCGGGTTGTCTACTTAAATGAAGGTTCGGGTCTCACTCCATAGTTTACCAGATCAAGTATAGGTGTCCTGTAAAAATGGATTGGGGTGCACCCTTCATTGAAGGAACAAAGCTTTGCTGCAGTAGGCGTTGTGGCTAGGGATGCTGAAGGTCAGCTTGTAGGATGCAGAGGCATGATGATCCAAGCTGGGTCTGCGGAGGAAGCTGAGGAACGGGTTGATGCTCGCGAAGCAGAAATGATGGGCTAAAGTGCACATAGAGATGGATGCTGAAGTTGTTTTTACAGACATCCATCAATTTCCCCATGTCCTACAACTGGGAGCATAAAAAATATCCCGTCACCAGATTTATGCTGAGAAGAATTTGTTTCATTCCATTGTAGACGGCTCCTTAGGGAGGTTTATGCATGTGCTAACAGGGTTGCAGTGCATACTAGGAAGAAGGCTGCGCAATCAATACTGGGATCTTGGTCCCCCATCCTCTTTGCTCTTGTTATTTACTTCTGTTGTAACTTGGTTCTCATCTGTTTTAAATGAAGGAGTTATGAATTGTTTGTTCGCCATCAATCAATTACACGTCAAGAAGGTACTGAGACCCACATACAGAGTTACAATGATCGACGCCAAGCTTGTCCATACTAGAGTCGCAGACTGTTTCTTCTCCATCTGCGTTTTCTCTCTCTTCCCCCTATTTCATATAATTTTTCTTCTCCCTTATCCTACCTTTTTTCATTTTATGGCTGGTTCATCGAGGTCCCTTATTCAACATTGACTATATCGCTAACTGAGAAAATTATTAAATACTCTCTCTTATGCTGGCCCTCTCCCTATGAGCCATTAGATGTGGGACCCATATGATTTAACGGCTCATATAAAGTGAACTGACGTAAGTCGGGAGTATTCAAAAATAATTCCACTAATAAATTTGAAAGTCTCCAAATGCCGGCTTGTATAGAAACAATATTTGTGAAACTTATTTGTGGGTGATTAGACCGAGCCGTAATTGAAGAATCTTCTTATTATTACCCATAATTACCAAAGGCATGACATGATGCATGAGCCGCCAAATTAGAAGACAGAAGGAATGGGGATGTGAATCTCGCTCATGCATGAGCGCATCATGAGATGGCATGAATCGGAAACGAATACAAAAGTCCCGATTCGTGCTGCGTCAAAAGGACGAAAAATTATTGGTTGTGTACCCCGTCAAGCCGGTTGCTCAATTTAACATCGGCAATATTATTCTGTCTACCGTTCGAGGAAGAAGAAGGCTCCACTCCTCTGGAGATATTATATTCCTCGTAACAAACCAACTATATGACATGTGAAGAAAAAACAAAGACATATGACTAGTTGTGCTTTGTTTACGCGGTTTTTAGAATAGTATAACCCCAATATATTAATCTGCATGGCTTGACTTAAAAGGCTATAAGACTTTCACGAGACAAGGACACGTCAAAGTCATCTGACCCTACCAGCTCCACCACTCCAATTTCAAAGTATAATCCGATTATTGATTGAAGCAATTCGCTTGGGCTCCACCACCCCTTATCTTTTCTTCCTCAGGACTCTGGTGGTGTGAAAGGCAGACATGAATGAATAGATAGAGGAAGAGAGAGATATCGGAACAGAGGAGAGAGAGAGAGAGAGAGATGGCGGGTGGCGGTGGCGGAGAGGAGACGAATTTGGAGTACACGCCGACGTGGGTGGTGGCGGTTGTGTGCAGTGTGATAGTTGCTATGTCCCTTGCTGTTGAGCGCCTCCTTCACTACACTGGCAAGGTATGCACTCAATCATCGTCGCCTACTTATATTTGTAATCTTTTTCTTTTATTCCCGTTATAAGTGGTCGCTTCGCTGATCACTTAATTTGATTTGTTTTTTGATGACTCTTATTGCTCTGGCGCACAGTATCTGAAGAAAAAGAAACAGAAGCCTCTTTTTGAAGCCTTGCTAAAGATCAAAGAAGGTTTCTTCGACCCTCCTTACTGTACTCTTATACGGATGGTGCGCTAGTTAGCTGGGTTGGATATAAACCGTGGATGGTTCTGTTTGTGATGGTGCAGAGCTGATGCTGCTGGGGTTTATATCACTACTCCTCACAGTGTTCCAAAATAGGATTAACACGATTTGCATATCCAAGCACTTGTCTGGCAAGTGGCTTCCCTGCAAGAAAGAAGATGATACTAGTACTGCCCACTTCCAGACCTCCTTCTCTTCCTTCACTTCTGGGAATGCACGCCGACTTCTTGCTGAAGCCTCTGCCTCCACTGATCACTGTGATAAAGAGGTCTCCTCTTCCTCCTGATATCAATTTTGTTGCTTATTCTCGATTGTATCCTGTCTCTTCCCATCAGACACTTCCACAGTGGAATGACGCTCGTTATATCTGGTGTCTAGCTTAGCTTCACTCCTGTACCCATGTTCAGGATCAGGACCCTCTGAGATCCGTTACTCCAAATTATGATCAGGCTCAAGCCACTAGTTGTACCTGAACCTGACACCAATGTCTGGAAAAAGCCACAACTTCCTGGCTCTTTGCTGCATTCCGCAAGTGCTCTAAACCGTTTGAAGTTCAAAATTCATGATAACTATTGAAGTACTGCCTTATTGCATCATCTAGAACAAACAACAACAATAGTGTTGAGCATCACTGACAAGATTTTGCCAACACAATTTTCAACTCCCTATAACATTACCATGCCAGAACTCATTGGAGGAATTCTAACCGTTGTGCCTTTAATTGACATTGCAGGGGAAGGTCCCATTGTTATCTACCACAGCACTCCACCATCTACATATCTTTATCTTTGTGCTAGCCATCGTGCACGTGACTTTCTGTGTACTCACAATTCTGTTTGCCAGTGCAAAGGTGTAATACCCATCTATCACTGCTCCTATCAATCTTTGAAAAACCTTGACCCAATATCGTTATGCCTCCTCCAACTGTCTTTCTTCACCTTTCCTTGTAATGTCTGTAGATACGTCAGTGGAAGCACTGGGAGGATGCCATACAAAAGAAAGAATATGATTCGGAAGAGGGTAATGTTGTCATGAATGAGTTCGCTCAACAGTGTTACAGTTTTTTTTCCTTCTTGAACTTACAGGTCGAGCAATTATAGCTTAGTATTTCTTTGCCATTGCCATCAGGGTCGGTACTGGGCTATAGAATGCATCACTTATTTCATCTTTTACCTGTCATTTCCTTTGCCTAATCTTCTTCTCGCTATTTTTTTATGAATGCAGTTCTGCGAACAAAGTTTACAAATGTCCAAGATCATGCTTTTATCAGGGATCGCTTTTTGGGCATCGGTAAAAACTTGACCTTTCTTGGTTGGTTGGTAAGTCACGAATCCTTATAGGCTAGTACTTTCTCATTTATGGATGAGTTAGCATCTGATACAAGTAGTAGCAACTTGAGCTGTATAGTTTCCTCAAAGACGAAACACAAATAACCATGTATTTTGACATTTTAAAGCATCTTTTAGCGGAATATATGAGGGAAGTTTCTGTTCTGGAGTTATAATAACCGTCTATCTTGAATTGCAATTACATGGGGGAGTCTCAGTAATCCACATTAATGAGAATGTCTGCATTACTTGACAATTAGAGCACTTTTACACCATATTGATCTGGGATGATTGTGCTCCACTTCCTACATAACACCCTACTTTTCAAGTTGATTGATAATTAAGAGTTCCTGTGTCATACATAAGTAAACCTCAACTTATCAGTGACTTTCATCATGTACTCTCCCAGCAATCATTCTTCAAGCAATTTTATGCTTCTGTGACCAAGGATGATTATACAACAATGCGCCTCGGTTTTATAATGGTAAGCAGATTGGTTTTGACTTATCCGTTTCAGTTGAAGCATCTTTAGTTAATTCTAGGCTATTTGGTTTCCATACTTTAATGTTGATTTAGAGCCATCATTTAAGACTCACTGCAGGGGAAATCCAAAATTTAACTTTCATAAGTATATGATCCGCGCTCTTGATGCTGATTTTAAGAAAGTTGTTGGAATAAGGTAAGGTGTCAGTCTTTTATTTACTTTTATCTGTTTCTATTTCCTGAGAAACATTTGATTTTACCTTTCTGTTGGTTCCACAAATCACTACTGTTGATATTTTTTTCCTATAATTGCAGTTGGTACCTTTGGATATTTGTGGTCATCTTCTTATTGCTCAATGTTCATGGTGAGAAACCAAATTAATCGCATATTTGCAGTTTCCAAATTTATCCGTCATGAATACAATAATACTTTTCATTACTGTAGTTTTTACCTCAGAAAAACATGGCTGAAAACAAATTTAGGCATGGTTTGGCATGGTGATTCTAGTCCTCATATTGAGAAGGAATTTGCACGGAGCTCAATGGTCCTTTCCAGAGAAACACCTAGGCCTTTTGCAATGTCATGGACATTAAAACAGCTTTCTTGATGCTTCTGAGCATGTCAGAGTCGAAAGCAGTTAATATCAATTTACCTGCAATATAATTCCCATCAAAGCCCCTAAAGTAACCTTTAAAGGTCAATCCCATAAAAGGGGATTTAACTGTAACTGATGAGGGGTTGCAATCAATTGCGCAGGCTGGCATGCATACTTCTGGATATCTTTCATTCCCTTTTTGGTGAGTAGAACCGTGTCCCGACATTGTGCTGCTTAAGCCATATTGTACAAATCTTGAGAAATGAGTCATACTGGGATTCAGATTATTCATTCTTGTATTTCCTTTTCTAGCTCTTACTCGCTGTTGGAACAAAGCTGGAGCACGTGATAAATCAACTAGCGCAAGAGGTGGCCGAGAAGCATGCAGCCGTGGAAGGGGACTTGGTGGTTCAACCTTCTGATGATCATTTCTGGTTTCATAGACCTCGCATTGTCCTGCTGCTCATCCATATCATCCTCTTCCAAAATGCTTTTGAGCTCGCTTTCTTCTTCTTCATCTGGGTAAGGGAGAAATATAGCTGAATTGCCAAAAAGAAAAAAAGTGCATACGAGGACTTACTGGAGCTTCCATTGGGGAAAAACCTGGCAGGTTCAATATAGTTTTGACTCGTGCATAATGGGAGAAGTCGGTTACATAATCCCAAGACTCGTGATAGGGTAAAAGCCTTCTTCCTTCTCTTCATATCTCGATTTTTTCTTATCAGCATCACATGTATCTGAATGGCTACGAGCAATGTTGTCAGGGTGCTGGTTCAATTCATGTGTAGCTACAGCACCATGCCACTCTATGCGATAGTTACCCAGGTGACCAATCTAGGCACATCATTCTCACAGTCCATGACTATTTACTGCCACATACATCATATCGGAACTGACGGCATGCTTCTTGCATGTTTGCGCTTGGTTGGTAAAGATGGGAAGCACATTCAAGAAGGCTATATTTGAGGAACACATACATGAGGGGCTCGCTGTCTGGGCCAAGCATGCAAAAATGAACAAGAATGCAAGAACGACGGCGACTGAAACAGGATCGACCACCACCCCGGTGGACCCCAAAGAGACTTCCCAATCCCATGACGAGCCCACAAAAGAAGCTGAGATCCAACATGATCCTTCGATCCAGGGACCTAAAGAGATGTAGCAACCATCTGAAACATTCCTTTCCAATTTCCATGTCTCGTCATCTATATACTTCATAAATGGGAAACTCGGCCCGCTTTTTCTAGCTTGACGTTAATTATATTGCATAACCAGACACCAATCAATATTCAACAAAGATTACCCTTCCTTCGGGCTCTATCTTCTCCGGTACAGTCATTTCCCATCCTGCCAGGGTGTTCACCATAAATCCGACTTCTAGGCAATGAGCCAACAGTAAGAAGTGAAATTTTCTAGGTGCGCATTGTTGCAGCTAAGTAGATCAACTATATCATGGAATAGGTTATTTTATGTACTAAAACAGTAAACACAGAAGACAATTGCCTGACATATTACTTATTCGGCAAAATACACTTTCACTACTTCAAATCATTCCAGCCCAAGCTAATTTCGCTGCCACAGTGGATTTGAACAGCCAAGTCGTTTTGCAAACATTAACTATAAAAAAGGTTTCGATAACAAATAGTGGTGCATGATTCAACAACCATTACCCATTAAATTAACCTTTTCCTGACCAATCAAGAAAGCGGTTTGAGACAACAGCTCAGACATAAGCATAGTGAAGGTAACTGACTATTATACATATTCTGCAGCAAAATAGCCACCTATCTATACCTCCGATACACAAAATTCTCCTTTATCTTTCCTAGCGAAATATGCTATAATACAAAGTCTTAAACTCACTCCTTCCTACAGCCCCTACATGCTGCTGAATTCTTCCATGTGCACTACCAGGAGCTTAATTGCTTTTGAATTTTGGAATTATGAGATGACCTTCCACCTTTGTCCTTGTAAGAATTTCTAGAAGCAATAGTCTTCCCTCCTCTATGTACAGCAGCAATTGCTCGCCGTCTCTGCTTGTTCAGGCGCTTTACCAACTCAGCATCATTCTCATTCTCTTCACTTTCATCCTGCACCGGGTGGAAAAGAAACTCTCTCATTACTGAATTTAACAAGAAAGAGCAATAAACGACGAGAGTGATGACTATATGATAAAACTTCTTCAGAAAAATAACTCGCTTTTCGTTTTCGATAAGCCAGAGATGACTCACCGACAAAAACATGAAAAAGCAGCAGACACGACAATTAGAAAACACAATACCAGTTCAATATCTCCTCCAAAAAAACAATTGACAGCGACCCAATTAATCAAACTAAAGTTGCATGTATTTTCTATCCGCATAAATTTCGAGAAACAAATTTCCGGATAATTCTTTGTTGTAAGAGCAAACAAAATTATCGCTTGACCAGATTCTGAGATGCTAAATTCAAAGACCTCAAGCCACAAACTTGCTTGAATTAGCCATTCGATCAGATGCCATTAAATGTGATTTAGAATGTGCACATTTAAGGAGAACATAGAGAGAGAAGTTCATTTTGCAGATAGCTGGCATCTTTCAAAGCTTATTCATCCTCATTGTCTATGAAATTTGTCACAAGTACAGAGACTATATGCTTGAGTAGAGTCAGAGGTTCTCGAACAAGGAACCCAAGCCCAAACTATCAAAATGGGCCTGAGCATTATAGAGCACAACAAAGGCAGATTGAACTTCAAGATATCTGCAAGCAAGAATGTCTTCAATGTGATTCATATTGCTCAACCTTTTTACTTATGTTGATAATCAAAAGTGCTGTCATGCACAATCCAAGACCACATAGCTAGTGAGTGAAAACCAGACCTAATGCCTAAAAGATTTCACCGTAAATATTTTACCTCATTGTAGTGTACCTCACCACAAGGTTCGCTGAGTTGTCCTTCACAGCTCTGTCTGTTTTCTTCATTTTTTTCCTCATTACCTTCTATAATGTTCCCTGGCTGGTCATACAAATAGCAAGATTAGGGTATAACACCGAGTGAGTCAGTGCATTAGACTTTCAAATAGATTTTAAGGTGGATCTCAGCTGACAGCCAGAAAATTATTACTGCGTCCTTCAGTTAACTATCCTGGAAACAAACCAGGAAATTCTCATAAACGAATATATAAAACACAACTTCATCTTATCTGGTGAAAAAGTCACTCAAGTGCTCAAATAGTCTATTAATAGATCTGTTTAGTTTTGAAAATGAAGCACAGTCAACAACATAGCTTCCAGTAAAAAGAGGAAATCTCATGTCCTGATGTTATAGGTTTCACAAAGTTTCAGCAAATGTTGATTTTCGGGCCTATCACCGCTAACGCTCTGAGACAAGTACCTGATCCAGCAGATGCAAAGAGTCAACATCTCTCACAATGGTTTCATCCATTCCAGCACTATTTTCTTCATCATCAGAACATATGTCCTCATCCTTCCCTTCTTCAACGAACTATATCAAAGGAAACCAATAAGAGATGGTTAATATCACATCATGGACAATGCACACTTACGATATCCAATCGATAACACACTAGGGATGACCTTTTGATTAATGTGTCAATTAGTTGCATTAATGCACTAATTTCCCTAGGGTAAGATGTAATTGATTCTGTACAAATTGTATATTCTGTTTTTATTTTCATTTCAGAATGCAGCAGCTTCGAAAACACGTCTGGAAACACACTGGAAATTATATCATCCCGTAAGAGAATTCTCATTTTCACTCACATGTATCCAAGAAAACAGAAAACGAAAAGTTAAATACTAGCCATAATACTACCACTTCCACACAAGGATCAAACATGCAAAGCCAGGAAACAGAATGCAGCCAATTGGCGAGATATTATTTTGGCTTCTAGATGCAAGAGCGTGAAGAAGATCATGAGAAAAGAAGCTGACAGAAGCCAAGAACTACAAAGAGTAAAATTGGTGGAAGGAATAAGACGAAAGAGTTGAAGAGGATAGAATATTTTCAAAAGACTTTACGGTTGCATGCCCAAAGTTTTTACCACCTAGACACTGTCCTACATTGGGACTTGAAAATAGAAAAGACAACCAGATTAGCATATCTATAATTAGTGTGTCAGGCTTATTGGTGTTGAGTTAGATTGATAGGCCAAGCATTTGAAGATCTAAACAAAATCAATCAAAAACCTTAGAAAGTTATTGCACCAGGATAAGAAACATGGTGCAGGTAGGATTCCCAAAAACCAGGAACTAGACCTGTGCTATCCAGTTACAAATCCCGAGAATTGGAAGACTAAATGGGCACGCTCCTAAGAGGTCCAAGCATGAACCAGAATTATGGTCAGCCACTAGATCTAACACCGAATTAAGCAATTGGATAACACAATGTTTATGATTTGCAAACCACCCACCCCTAAAAGTGAGTCATAAAAGGTGAATCACTATACCTTGTCCATATCATCTTGCTCTTTTCTAGTAAACCCACTAGCAGCAAGTTCTTTGTCCAGAAAACCAACAGATTTGCTTATTGAAGAAAAACAAGGTCTACTGCTTTCTTCCGAATCTTCCTCTGAATTATCAGGATTATCAATCTGCTCTTCGAGAGAGAGATTAAACCTGGTGGTAGATTGTCACAAAGAAAAATGGATCCATGATTGTTTTAAAAACTGAAAATGTGTTATATAATGCACCATCTCACCCATAAAAACAAAAAGCGTCTGTAGGAGCCATAAAAGTTTGAAAGCACGGACATCAAGTTATCAAAATAACATAATTCTACCAACAAGGAACTTGTAACGTATTCTACTCACAGACAAAAGAATTTTCACAAGACCAAACCTATGTCTCATTCATATGAACAATTTTCAAATCCTGTTTTATTATGAACTCTTTAGTCCAGAAGAATTGTGGCCCAACAGCAAAATAAAAAAGAGAGAATAAGTAATCTAAAGACATTCTCATCAAGGGGAAAGAGCGATGAATGCACGGATAACATTTCCATCAATAGCAAAAGAAGTGGACTCACAAATAATGCAAATTGCATTGGGAACATTTGCAGGTAAGTTGCCTACCAGTATGGCAAAATATTTACTTTACTCCAATCAAACATTTGATTTTCTCAACAATGGGGGAAGAGACAGAATGTCAGAGCCTTTACAGACAAGGAATCAACTTTCTTTCCCAATAAAAGACTTCTGTCAAAAACTGCTTACTCTTTTCATCAAAGCACTTGAAAGTTGCGGATTTCTTAGGTTTCTCAAAATTAATTTCCTCAGTGAGTATTACATTATATAGTCAACATACTTTCATCACCATCCTACAAAAGAATGTAACCCATTCATCACTCAAGATTGCAAGAACTACCTAAGGATGACCCATAAGTGGGTCATCATTTTATATTTTTGCATCACCTAAAAGGTCAAAAAGTAAAACCATTTTTACAATTTGATGCGGTTTTAGAATGGACCAACCTCTTGCTGAAGAACTTAAATATGCAATCAACATCGCGATCAAAGTACCTGAAAAACAGAAAGTAGAAATTTAGCAATAAAAACAAGAGTGACTAATGTACAAATCTGTACTGAGCAGTTGAAGCTTGCAATATCACTTACATCTGTGCATTGCGATGTGATACCGAAACCATTTGAGGAAAATCAATCATGGTAACTTTCTCCTCATCATCAATCTAATAATATCGTAGAAAAAAACGTAAAATTGTTGAGAAGATTGCACTAAGGTTATTAGAGGTGCTAATAACTCATAAGCATGAAATCAAAGAAATACAAAGGATCCATTATAGAGAACATCCCTATTACAGTTCTTTGTATTAGCATGTGCAAGTGTGTGTCATGTCATCGTCTTGTGTGGTTGTGTATTCCCTAGCAACTCTAGCAAGGATAATAAAGTAACTGGGAGTTACCATGATATTAAATTCATTGAAATCACAGTGAATGAGGCCGTGTTCTGCCAGGCGAACAATGAGACCTAAAATTGTCTCGAAAACCACCTCTGGGCTTTGCAATTCGCGTACCTGCACACTGCAGAAGAAATATATCTCATCACTGACAGCAGCAACCTAGCCAGGAGTTGCATAACAAAGAGGTGGGGTTGGCAAATGGAAATGGGAGGGGTGGGGGTGTTGTGATTTGATTTTCTTTATTTTTCAGATAATTCAAGAGAAAAAATCTCAGTCACAGAAATAGAGGAAATCAGAGAAACCATCAGCTTCTGTTCTCCAGTTAAAAAAGGGCATCTACATAAATTATACTTGTTCACAGAGCTTGACTCAGATTTTCCAATCCCTAGAGCTTGACTCTAGCAGCTGTGCCCATAAAAACAATTTGCTGAGGTCCCAAATGGAGCAGCTTGGCCCTAAGACTTGCTACATAATATTATTACAGATAGCTACTATTTTATTCATGCAAGTGAGACGCCTCAAAATTATCACAAAATGTTCAGGATGCTCTGGAGAAGAATAATTAGGAAACAAAAGTTTCTTAGAAGCTCATCACAAAAGAATTTCTCAACAGCCAATGTACAATCTCTAGAAGTAAGTGCTGACATGTAGGTTTTGCATGTGTTATAAAGAGGCAGAATTAAATAATGAGGTAGCCTCTCTTTATTCTTCCAGAATCTTCTCAAAGATAGAAAATTTCACAGTTGACTACCCAAATGATCTTGAGTTTCAAAAAGAAATTGGGTAGGAGAGTCCTCTACTCTTCACCCAAGGGAAAATCAAGATCATTTGTTAAATACAAGAAAAGGGGCCTGGACATGCTAATGAGAGAGCACAATAACACTCTCTGCACACATGAAATTGCTTTTGAATTTCATAAATCTTAGATAGTCTCCCTAGAATCTTGGGAAATTTTTAATATTTTAAGTTGTACAAATCCTAATGCTATCAAACTTACATAAATCCTGGAAACAGGTGCAATGCCTCCGAACTGTTAACAGAATAAAAGTTTTGTCCGGAAAAGGTAAAACAATCAAAACTTGCATGAGGAAATCTCAAAAGGTCAATAGCAAGAAGATATGTAGCAAGAAAACCAGGGTGAAAACTGTGAGTGCATTTGTTTCTCCTAAAACATTAAAAAATGCTTTTTTAAAGATAGCACCATTCCATCGTTATCTGAATGTCTCCAGGTCCAACTTTGAAGGAAGAAGTTTCAACATTTAAATGTGATTCAAAGGAGATATATTAACAGTCAGATCATCAGAAGTGCAGATTATATTATTATGTGACTTAAGGATATGCACATTCGCAGCATCCTCCAACTTAAAACAAATGGAGGCTGCATGATGTGACCAAATTCAGTGTTGTTCGGTTCTGGCAATTGCCTAAGCTCATTGCCTTCTTGTTCCTTTCCCCACTTTATGGTCTCACCCATATTGTTTGTACATGACGAAATAGGTCATTATGTCTCTTTGCAGTTGATAATTCCAAACATATTTAAGGACTAACTTTAACTTTCATTTACTAACTCCACACAGAGTAAATTGCTCCTTTAAAGCCGTAAAGTATGATTTCTGGACGTTAAAATTGTGTCTAAAAATTATACTGGAAAACAGTTCATGTGAACCTGAATTAATTGCATCCAAATAACATCCAAAGAAGTTTCTTCGTAACAAGAATCCGGAAAAAAGGTGAAACCAGATCCAACTTAAGGAATAGAATATGGAAGAATCATGTATGAAAGAGTAACTATATTTTATACGTCGTCCCTTCCCAAGTACAATGCACAAAAATAACGTAAACAACAGGGGCTCTTACAGTGGATATCCATGGATGAGTGACATAACCACACAATGCCTATTACAGTCCACAGCATCAGGGACTGGAAAACCATGCTCTTCCAAGGCCTACAAAGTGAAGCAACTCAGTCACAGTTCAGTGCTAATCATCAATATCAAAAGGAAGAGCTAATGAATGCTGGGAAAAGCAAGTATATACCTTCATAAAAGAAAACTCTTTAAGTGCAGCAAGTCTTGACAAATAGAGCCAATTATAACTTCTTCGATGCCTCAAGTAATCACGCTTGGATTTAACTGCCCTAAAAGAAGTTCTACCAAGTCTGTGTAACTTCATAGCAAGGATGGAACCATCCTCCTTGGCAACCTCAAAGATATCTTGCAACAACAACATAAGTTATCATTGCAAATTATTTGGGTCTCATTCTCATCATACATAACCTAAAGTAGTACAAGTCCTAGGGATTGAATTTCCATACAGCAGAATCTGACAGGAATTAACACGAAGGCAAGAAATTTGTAAACGATGTTACCAGACTCCTTTCCGACCCCAATTTGACGACCAACGGCTGTAAAAACTCCACGATTAACCATGGTCTTGATCGCAAGAAAATCATAACCAAGGTAGGTGAGCCGAAACCCATCATCTATGTCCAGCAAAGAAGAAAAATTAGAAGAAGAAAAAATGGGAATTCAAGAGACAGGGTCTCAAGAATTTTTATATGGCTACTTACATTTGGAAGAGTCATGGTGTACCAATTTGTGCCTAAGCAAGTTCTTCAAAACTTTGTACGTACCGCCATGCCTAAGAAAGACGTTGGACATTGAAATGCCAGGATAGAGAAAAACAATATTGTTAACAACGAGAAAAGAGTTTGGAGAGCATACTTGAGAGAAGCGATACGGTCCACAAGCTCGGAAGGGACGATTTCATGCTGAAAACAAACAATGTATAGATCGGTGACGTGTAATGGAATGACCAACCTATAATGAACAGATACAGATGCATGAACCCGAAAAAGTGAGGTCCATCATTTTAAATACTAACGTTTCTCATCCCCATTTCAACAGCAGTGAGAACTCTAAAGTCATCTTTGGACAGATATCTCAAAACATCCACATCCAGCTTCATCTCTGCCTTCTACAGATGACAAAGGAAAACAATTAAGTCAACGTATCAGCAGTCGATCAAGTAGCTAGAGAAATGAGTGCGGGAACTACGAAGGGCAATGAAACTATATCTTAACGGTAATTTCTTTTCAAGAATCGTGACAAGTTGGAGAAGATGGAAGGAAGAAGGAATACTGCAGAACCACGTTAATGGGGTCTATCCCTAACGAATTCAACTAAAAACGTGTAGCCAAGGTTGGCAAAATCTCCTTTGTATCCAACATATAAGAAACGCGTAATATTTGAATCACGAAAAAGTTAAATCCTCAAGACAGTCTGCTGTTCTTTAACAGCATGCAGTTTACAATCGAACACCAACTGTCATAAAATCGCAATTAGGCTACTTCTTAACACCTAATACCAAACTACGAGTGCTCCATCATCAAAAGAACATTACGAAAATCTATGTTCGAGGGAGGAGGGGGAAAGGGTTGTTTTGCGCGGAACGGACAAAGGGAAGTGGAGCATTGAGGAGGATTGGTATTATGCCAAGAATTCAGGTGGACGTTCTATCAGCACGGGATAATCGTAGACCGCAAAGCGATATAATAGTCACCGGTCACTGAGCTGAAGGAACATTGCTTTACACAGACGCAGAAGGACGAAAAGCAATAAATTAGCGGAAACAAACGGCGGAATCGGGAAACGCCTCCTTGCTGCAGAGACCACCCACGCCTCAACACGCCACGCCAAGCAATCCAAAGTCGACGAACAAGAACCCAAGGGACAACGGAGACAAACACGAAATCACCAAGTTTCAGCAGCCCAAGCTCCTAGTTTTCTCAAACAAAATCTCCACATAGATAGATAGAGAGAGAGAGAGAGAGAGAGAGAGAGAGAGAGAGAGTATTGGAGACACTAACAGGCGAACGGGAGAGGGCGGCGGCGGCGGCGGGTTGAGGAGGGGGGGGGGGGGAGGTGATCGGGGGGAGAGGATTCAGGTTCGGCTGCTTCGGCGCGTTAAGAGACTCAGGAGGAGGCTGCTGCTGCTGCTGCTGCTGCTGCTGCTGCTCTCCTGTAGCTCTTCTTAGAGCCTTTTGCTTTTTTCTTTTTCTTTTTCTTTTTTGTTTTTATTTTTTCTTCCCTTCTAGTCGTTTGTTTTTCTTTTTTCTTTTTCGGTTTTCTTTTTTGCGTATTTCTTTCCTTCTTTCTTTTTTGGGTATTTAAGGTTGTGGTTGGATTATTTGGGCCGAAATTGTGTTTTGGATTTTTGGGATTTGGGCTTTGCCTTATTTGGGTGCTGCTTTTGTAGTTTTAGACCTAGACCGCATTCTAAAAAAAAAATAGCCCGTTTTCCCCGTTAAATTAAAATATAAAAAGAGAAAGAATTTGAGACACTTTTAAACTGTTTTATCTATTGGATTTGGTGTTATTAATAATAGGTAAAAAGGCAATGCATACATCCACCACCAACTATTACTTGTTGCTATTATTCTTCTAAAATATATATATATTTTTATTTCGAAGCCGAAGCAGAGGCAGCATTGGTGGGCTTGTAATGTTTGCGAAAAATCGAATTTTTCAGTAGAGTAATAATTGTTTCACTGGAAATTGGGATTTGACCTTAATAATTGTTAAATGGGTTAGTTAGCGATTCGAATAGGAATTGAATTTGCGTGACAAGAACGAAGAACAATAAATTATATAAATAACAGACTGTAAATGCAGGAAACTAAGAATACATTGATGGACTTAAAAAGTACGAAAGGAATTTGTTCTTGATGATCAAGGACCCCCTTCCAATAACTACACACTGCCTTTTATAATATGTTAAACATAACTGCTCATAAGCAGCCAATATTCTACATGCAGTTACGAGTATGCTCCCACAATTTTAGGCTCTATCATGGTAGGTCGACCTTGCACATAAGCAATTGCAACTCCTTAAGTGCAACTAGGCTTCGTCCTCCATTGGCGGTTTCACTTTGTCTTCCTCCTTCATTTCCTTGCCTCCAACACTCTAACCAAATTTACTATGACATTGGCCGTATATAGGTTTTATCATTCATATGTTTTTTAACCACTGACCATCGATAGTTGTATTTCATGATCATCGATATTCATAATTAGTGAAGTGTTCTATCATCGTCAATAACTACATTATGTAACTATCAGTAACTATCACATCATTTGTCGATAGTCATATTGACCTCTTCACCGAGCTCTATATTTGACCAAATCTTCTTCACGTTGATTATAAAGATTTGGTTCACTTTCTTGTGTAAACGGTTAACTTGAAAGAGATTGCCAAACTCTCCTCGTAGCAATCGGCACGAAACATTGGAATTTTGTTTGGAAAATTTTGCCCGCGGTTAAACAGACAACTCTGCTTGGCTTTGACAGGGGTAGCTAGGACAGGCGATTGCTCGGGAGAAGTTGCTATCTGTAGAACTCTTATTTCTGTCAAGTGACATGTGTTTTTCTGGTTTAAGGTTTAGTGTTAGGACGCCGAGATGTAATCAAGACGTCGTACCTCATTCTGTTATGCAATGATGGCTTTACTTATACAAAAGATAATGAAATGAGTAAAATAGAAAGAAAAGGCTTTGACACCAAAAAAGGTCCGAGGCGTCGGCATCATTATAATCAACATGAAGATCTTCCTTCCTTTTTCTCTTTCTTCTTTTCCTCCATTCATCTTCTTCGTTCTGCGATCTCTCTCGGCTATGGTCATGGCCACTTGAGCTCCAAGCTTTTCGACCTTAAAACTCAGTAAAGCCCTCTCTGGAGAAAGAGAAGGTGGCCTTATGGTAGGTTTCTTGTTTAGAATTTTTCTTCCAAAAATATCTCGTATGCCTGGGCGGCGGTGGGCGGGTCAGAGTTAACTTGGGTTCAGTGAGGTCCAAAAGTCAGAAGTGGCACGAGGGGGAAGACGAAGAAGAGAAAGAGCAGGGAGGAGAAGGAGAAACGTGGGGGAATTTGCATATTGCATCTTGACGTGTTTCCTTGGCTTTCCTCTTTGATTGAGCTCGACTCTCTCTCGGTCTCTCTGTCTCTGGGTGTTCAATTCTTTACTTGCTCCTCTCTTCTCCTCCTCCCTTCCTTCTCCTTCCCTCCTCCCCTCCCCTCCCCTCCCCTCCCCAGTTCAATTCTTCCAAAGGAATAATAATGATCTTGTGAGGAGGAACAGCGCAGCATCCCAAGTCTACCCAATAATAATATCACCACCTCCATTCGTCAACAAAGAAAGAAGATACAGAGAAGAAAGAGAGACAGAGACAGAGTTGACAATTTCTTCCCCTCCTACCTAACATCCCCCTCATTCCCCCCCTCCCTCCCTGCCTTCCCTCCCATGGTAATGGAGGTGTCCACGTCGTCTTCCTCTCCCCTCTCCATCCACTCCCCCTTCGCCGCCTCCGTCGCCGCACCCTGTCGCCGGAGCAGGATGCTTCCCATCCGATTGCCCGTTTCCAGCTTCTGGGGTTCTTCCCTGCACCCCCGTTGTTCCATTGGACCCGCCAAAACTCAAGCTTCGCCGCTCCGGATCGCCAAGAAGAAGAAGCACCGGTTCCTTCACGTGAGGGCGGTGTTCGAGAGGTTCACGGAGAGGGCCATCAAGGCCATCGTCTTCTCCCAGCGAGAAGCGAAGACCATGGGCAAGCCCATGGTCTTCCCCCAGCACCTCTTGCTCGGCCTCATCGCCGAGGATCACGTCCGCCACCATGGCAATCACCCTTCGGCTCCCGGCTTTCTCGGCTCCGCCATCACCCTCGACGATGCCCGCGCGGCCGTCCTCGACATCTGGCACAATCATCATCAGAACGATGATGTGATCGAGAATGATGTTGTGGCCGACGAACACCAAAACGGCAACAGCAGCAGCAGCAGCAGCAAATCTTCATCCCCTGCTCACGTCCCCTTCTCAATCAGCACCAAGCGCGTGTTCGAGGCTGCGGTTGAGTACTCGAGGACGACGGGCCACAACTTTATCGCCCCCGAGCACATCGCCATTGGACTTTTCGCTGTCGACGATGGCAGCGCCTCCCGTGTTCTCAAGAGGTCCTCCTCTTCCTCTCCTGAATTGTTGACTCTCTGGTTGTTGTATTTTCCTGTGAAATCGCATATACGAACGATCATCCCAGCCAGAGCATGGCGCAATGTGTTATAGCCGGAGGGTACTGACATGTGATAGCATTTCATATATATATATATATATATATGTGTGTGTGTGTGTGTGTGTGTGTGTAGATGCAGTAATTGATTATGCACATGCAACGCATTATGTTTTTGTGGGCTTTTGTGATACCTTCATTTGCAGATTGGGAGCTAATCTTAATGATTTGGCGGATGCGGCAGTGTCAAGACTTCAAGGGGAGCTTGCAAAAGACGGCAGAGTCACATCTTCTGCTTCTGCTGCTGGAGCTTCCAAGGTTATGCCTAACAAACCCTTTTCTGGAAAGGCTTCTGCCCTTAAATCCACCGACAAAAACAGAGGTACCATCCTCTTTTGCTTATGTTCTGTGTGTATCGACCAAACAATGACTTAGGATGTTTGGCTAAAATAAAAAAGATATGCTGGTTGCTCTTTGCCAGGGAAAAGTGCTCTTGCTCAATTCTGCGTGGACCTCACTGTTCGAGCCAGCGAGGGACTCATCGATCCTGTGATTGGCCGTGATACTGAAGTTCAGAGAATCATTGAGATACTTTGTCGGAGAACCAAGAACAACCCTATCCTTCTTGGCGAAGCTGGGGTTGGGAAAACGGCCATTGCTGAAGGCTTAGCAATTAAAATTGCCGATGCAGATGTTCCGCCTTTTCTTCTGGTGTGTCTCTGCTTATGTGCATGATTTCATGTAACTATCAACTCTTTGAGAACACTTTTTAGACCGACTTATTTAGGTCAAGTTTGATGATCTCTCTTGTTTGAACAGAACAAACGCATAATGTCCTTAGATATAGGTTTATTGATTGCCGGTGCAAAGGAGAGGGGGGAGTTGGAGGCTCGTATTACCTCTTTACTGAAAGAAACTTTGAAATCAGGTGAATTAAGTTATGAGCGGGCTGTCTTTTGTTGAGCAACTAATCCTTTCAGCGTCTCATAGTTCCGAAATTGCCGCCTGCAGGAAACATCATCCTTTTCATAGACGAGGTCCACACGATCATTGGATCTGGCACTGTTGGTAAAGGAAATAAGGGATCTGGTCTCGACATTGCCAATCTATTGAAACCCTCACTTGGAAGAGGTGATTTACAGGTAATGCTCTCTTGTGGGAACCTCTGCCTTTAAATTTCTTACATACCCATGTTGAATTAGTGAGAATGCCTTATCCTTCTGTTGTTAACTTAGTCTTTTACGCCAGAAAGCTAAAGAGTTCTTCTGATGGATTTTAGATTGTTCCCTATTGTCAATCTCAAGAAATGAGATCAACTATCCTTTACTTGCAATCTAATCAATGAATCAGAACTAAGCCCTACGGTTAGATTCAGGTTGATCCTACCAAATTATTTGTAGAAGACTTTGGCATTCTCCTTAGACATGAGTGAATTTCAAACGACACTTCCTGGAACTTTTACTATTACTACAAATGAGGATTTATGCTATCCAATGCAGTAAATAAAGGTGAAACAGTATATAGATGAGCCCCAAGTCAAGTAAAGATTTTTGTCATGTAAAAGCACACTTTTGAAAGTATGAAGATTGAAGCTACTCTCCCTATCATCTCACCCAATTTCCAACTTGAGTATATTTATATAATTTGAATCCATGTCAATTAGAACGAAGGCAGTCTGCTGCTTTTCTCTTGCAATTGACTCATGATTGGGTCTTAGTTTATATTGTGGTGTATGCTTTAGGTGTAGTAGCTTTAAAACTAAGTTTGGTGTATTAACTACCCTTTAGTTTGCCAATCGAAGATGCCTTTTATTCTTTTTCTTTGCAGTGCATTGCTTCAACAACTATGGACGAATACAGGACGCATTTTGAACAAGATAAGGCATTGGCAAGGCGATTCCAACCTGTACTTGTTAATGAGCCAAGCCAGGTTTCGTCTAATAGAAGTTTACTTCATGAAGCTGACAATTGTGTATAGAATGTTATTTGACTTGTTGAAATAAATTCATAGGAGGATGCAGTTAGGATTCTATTGGGTTTACGCAATAAATACGAAGCCCATCACAAATGCATATTTACTTTGGAAGCAATAAATGCTGCTGTGCAACTCTCGGCAAGATACATTCCTGACCGATACCTCCCTGACAAAGCAATAGATCTCATTGACGAGGCTGGGAGTAGGGCTCACATCGACGCCTTCAAAAGGAAAAAGGAACAACAAATATGCATACTCTCCAAGTCACCCAATGATTATTGGCAAGAAATTCGTACTGTTCAGGCTATGCATGAAGTGGTAAGGGCACTGCTTCTGTATCTATCCAGCTTCTTCGTCAGTTCATGGCTCTTATTTCATTAGGTAACATTAGCAGGTCCAGGGGAGCAGGATGAAGGTTGAAAACGGCTCTTCAAATATGGATGATTCAGACTTTGCTTTGCCTTCAACATCGAAAGATAATGAGTAGGATTTCCTTAAAAAAATATATTCATAAATAGTGATTGCAATGTGCCTTTCACAGACTGAACTTGATGTTCATTTACTACTTCCCTGGTAATTTTTTGCAGGCCTACGCTGGTCGGACCTGATGATATAGCAGCTGTTGCTTCTCTCTGGTCAGGAATCCCAGTTCAGAAGCTCACTGCTGATGAAAGATTGCTGTTGGTGGGTCTTGATGAGCAGCTCAGAAAGCGGGTCATTGGTCAAGACGAGGCTGTTTCTGCCATCTCCCGAGCGATTAAGAGATCCAGGGTTGGTTTGAAGGATCCAGACCGACCTATTGCGGCAATGCTTTTTTGTGGCCCTACTGGAGTCGGCAAGACTGAATTAACGAAAGCTCTGGCTGCATGCTACTTTGGATCGGTAAGTTGATGCATTAGTTTTTATGAGAGCTCCTCTGTTGTTAATATCTAATGGGAAACATAAATCTAATCTTTTCGTCCTTTTCCTTGAAGAAGCTTGATTTTGATGTGGGATAAGTGCTTTTAAAGTCCTAAAACTTTCAATTTGTGCAGTCAAGTCCTAAAACTTAGCCAAAAAGTGCAATCAAAATACTCATGTTAGTTCCGTCCAATTTGAGTGACGGAAAATGATGATGTTGTTTCTAAAAATATTTTTGAGGCTGCGTGGCACTGATTTTGAGCCAAGTGGGCCCCACAAGCGAAAAAAAAGGCAAAAATAAAAAAAAATAAAATAAAGGGAAAAACAAGAAAAAGCACTGCGAATGAGTTAATGGAATGGGCGACAGTGCAGCCCCACATTCACTGGCAACCCTCGCTAGCCACAGGTGACGGCCGGTGGCCCTTGGTCATGGTGGCGAGCGGTGGCGCTACCACTGTGCGAGGGCCTGCAAGCCCTTGCCTGCTTGCAGCAATGGGCACTGGCCATTGCGGGGAATGTGGGGCAGCGCCGCCCCCATTCAAGCAACACCAACACCGATGAGGGCCATTGTTGCAGCCTCTTGTTCTGATTTTTTTTTTCCTGAGTTTTCCAGTTTTTTATTTTTTAGGACTTTGTGATGATGTGGCACCCACTTGGAGCCAAATAAGCCTCGTTGGCATTTTCTGTCTGTTAAAACGTCCAACCCAAAAGCTTAAGTTATTAGGTAGAGGGAGACCACATGAATATAAAGAGCATTTAGGACCCGTTGTCAATTGATGTGGGATAATACTTCAACACCCCCACTCACGTGCAAGCTGGATTACGAGCAGCACGTGAAATTTTGACGTGAAATTTTGACATCGCATATTCACATGGAATTTTTACCACGCACATTCGCGAAAGGGATAGCATTGGCTTCAATACCATGTTAGAAAGTCCTATAAAAAAACTTAAGCTATTAGGTGGAGGGAGGCCACATGAATATAAATAGCATTTAAGACCCGTTGTCAATCGATGTGGGATAATACTTCAACACTATCACTCAAATTAGACGAACATAATGGAGGTACTTGATTATACTTTTTGGCTAAGTTAGGACTTGATTGCATTTTCTTTAAAAGTTTTAGGACTTTCATTGCAATTATGCCATCTTGGTTTTTATGAAGATCCTCTCTGGATATTCTTGATCTACCACAGGTGGAGAAAAACAAGACTTGTCATGTCTCTTTCAGGCATTTTTAATTTGAGTAAGAGTTATGAGACATGGAAAAATATAGGATTGCACAACACTTCCTTTCTGAGCACCATCACTGTTCAGGTAGGGCCAAAGTTAAATAGACATGTCATGTGACTTTGAAGTATCCATGTCTACCAGGGCAGTATGCCAAAACACTGATCTTAACCTATCCAAATCAGTTATATTTTGTCTTGATTTTGCTTAGCCGGTTGGCAGGTGCGAATCCTTGCCCCTCGGGTGCCTAATTCCACAGAATTGAGTCTAAGCATAATAGGTCATTGAGTTTTAGTCTCTCATATTTGCTTAGTGCAGTGAAATTTTACAAACTGGTTAAACAAAAAGGTAAAGTGTCATAATATTTTACCCACCATTGGCCTCAAGAATGATAGCCTGTACAAAGGCTATAAGCCACAAACATGTAGGATAGGGGATCTTTACTTAAGCTAGTGATTTTTTCTTTCCATTAATCTAGCTTATCAGACAACCCAATCTTGAACAACTTCGGTGGTAGTGAGATGCTTCTTGGGTAATGACCTTGATCTATACATCGATTAGGTTTCCAAACATATGTAAGTTGAGCCTTTCTTTTAAGCATTCCTACGTTGAAGAGTCTGTGTTTAACTTCTATATCCGACTCAGCTCATGATGGTTGATGAGTTTTCACTTGACATTTCTACTTTTTGCCTCTATTCTATTATATCAGGAAGCATCTGTGCTGAGATTGGACATGAGTGAGTATATGGAGCGGCATACTGTGAGCAAATTGATTGGATCACCTCCAGGTTATGTAGGATATGGACAGGGTGGTACTCTTACAGAAGCTATCAGAAGAAAGCCTTTCACAGTAGTGTTGCTCGATGAGATAGAAAAGGCACATCCAGATATATTCAATATTCTTCTGCAATTGTTTGAGGACGGACACCTCACAGATTCCGAGGTTCGTGCTTGCTAACAATTTGTTCCTTGCAGAGAAAATTCGAGATTTATGAACTTCTGGACTTCATATTGGGACTGAAAAGTGCACTAATTCTTACAGTGAGGGTATAAAGTTAGATGAGCAACAAGTTTCTTTCCTAACACGCAATCTTCTTGTGATGCACAGGGACGAAGAGTTTCATTTAAGAATGCATTAATTGTAATGACATCCAATGTGGGTTCGAGTACAATTGCAAAAGGTGGGCGCTCTATTGGTTTTCTGAGTCCAGATAATGAGTCAACATCGCATGCTGGATTGAAAGCACTGGTGATGGAAGAACTGAAAGCATATTTCAGGCCAGAGTTACTCAACAGGATAGATGAAGTGGTTGTGTTCCGTGCCCTCGAGAAGAGTCAGGTTAGATGTTTTAACCTTTTCATTTGCCAGTCTCACTGTTCCTCTGATAGCATTCCATGCTCACCAAACGTGTGCTGATGTCTCAACATATTTTCAAAGAATATGTGGTTAGGTTTCTTGCAACATAAAATCTACTTTGTACTGTAAAGTAATAAATCCATCTCATTGCCTCTCTTCCAGATGCTCGAAATTTTGAACATTATGTTGCAAGACGTGAGAAAGCGGCTTATGTCGATGGGTATTGGATTGGAGGTGTCTGAATCAATCATGGACCTCGTATGCCAACAGGGTTATGACCAAATTTATGGTGCAAGGCCTCTTAGGAGAGCGGTGACCCAGTTGATTGAAAACCTATTGAGCGAAGCTCTCCTTTCTGGAGGTTACAAGCCGGGTGACACAGCCGTCGTCGATGTGGACTCTTCTGGAAATCCATGTGTTACGAACGGATCCCATAGGAGTATCCATTTATCCGACAAAACATCCCTGTTTTAAAGGAATCATTACACGATAAATTGTCTAATCCCAATTTTTTTGTAAAATTACTGCGTATAATGTATATGAGCAATTCTTCAACTGTATATTCGATTGCGGGGACATTCATTTCATATTCTTTGAAATAAGTGGATATTTGGGGATGCATAGACTACATTTTGTGTTTTCATGAGGCAGTGTCTTAATATATTTAGCAAAGCAACTTAGGCGAGATCGGTTGCCCATCATTATCATCATACGCTTATCCATATAACTCTGCAGAAAACTGGTGAGATTGCTACTTTTGCCACGGTGAAGTTAAGTTGCTGTGTAGCAGCAAAAGGGTTGGAAACATCTTTATGCCAATGATCCGATTATTTTCTTAAAAATAATCACTTGTATAGCTTGAAATAATTAATTGATGAAAAATACTTCCGTTATCGACAACAATATGTGTCTAAACATAACATTTTTGTAGATAATGGAATTTTGTTTCATGGGTAATGTAGTCTCTGAACTTTTAATTCGTTTAATGTGATCCCTGAACTTTAACTTAACATTCAATGTGATCCATGAACTTAAACATGTATCAATAGTCTAGGGACAACATAAAATAAATTAAAAGTTCATGGATTATATTGAACATTAAGCTAAAGTTCAAGGATCATGTTGAACAAACTAAAATTTTAGGGATCACATTGCATATTGAATCAAAGTTAAGATATCATTTGTTTCAAAATCCCAAAGTTATATTTGTGTTATTACGGTGCATACTATTAAAATCTGCAAATGTCGCCTTATTCGTAGCATCGCTATTACAACAAGCAAAAAACGCGCCATTCAGAAGGAAAAAAACTCGCCGAAACCGCTCCCCCTCCCCACCCCCACCCCCACCTTCCATGTAACTTTGGGATAAAGAAGGCTCACCATCCCAATTCCCAAATCACAAAGCCAGTAAGCAAAGCACACCACCAGAAAGAAAGGAAGGAAGGAAGAAAGAAAGAAGAAGAAGAAGAAGAAGAAGAAGTTCCGAATTTTTTTAGGGTTTTTCCAGTTCCACAGTCAGTGGCTCCGCGAATTCCCCCTAGGAATGCAGCCCGAGCAGCGGGATACGGCGATGCAGCGATCGGTGGCCCAGCTGTCCTCCCTCTCCTCCGCCATCGACGCCTTCCGCCGCCGCATCCTCGACCTCGACGACCACCTCCATGCCCTCCACCTCGCCCTCGACGTCCGCACCCTCCTCCTCCAATCCGATTCCCAACCCCCGCGCCATCGATCGATATCCCCGCCTCCGCTTTCGCAGGAGGGTGCGAAGTCGGCGCCCGAATTGCCGGAGAGCGCCCCCGCCCCTCAGTCCGAGCTCGAGCAGCTCTGCCACACCATGTGCAGCCGCGGCCTCCGCCGCTACCTCGTCGCCCACCTCTCCGACGTCGACGCCCTCCGCCGGCGGGTCCCTCCCGCCCTCAAGAACTGCGCTCCCGACGTCCCCAAGCTCGTCTACGAATGCGTCGGGGGTTTCTATCTCCAGGGTAGCAAGGCCTTCACCCACGACTCCCCCATGATCTCCGCCCGCCACGCCGCCATCCTCGTCCTCGAGTTCTTCCTCCTCTCGGGCTCTCTGGGCGTGCGGGAGGATCCCGCTGCTCTCTCGGTCAAGCTGGAGGCCGAGTCCTCCGCGATCGCGTGGAGGAAGAGGCTGATCGTCGAGGGCGGGGTCTCCAGAGCAGGCGAGAGCGATGCTCGCGGTTTGCTTCTTTTCATCGCTTCCTTCGGCATTCCTGGCGTTTTTAAGACTGAAGATATTGCGCACTTGCTCCGGCTCAGCAATTGGAAGGAAATCGGCAACGCACTTCCGCGTTCCCCGTTCCTACGCCCTCGAATTCCTGGTACTTGTTGGTGCTTTCTCTGTTTTTTACTCATTGATGCTTTCTCTATCTTAACTTGTGGGTGCAGTAGTTCGATTTGTCTGTACGAGGATTAGTACCGAATTCGGTACTTTATTTTCGTCCCCTTTCGCGCAGATCTTTGGTTTGATCTCAAATAGCCATATCTAAAACGCTCTTTTGTTGAATGGCTCCCCTCATTAAATAGATACGGCCTTCTCTATAGGTTGCGAACCCCTAGTTCAAATTTTTGTTTTTTACTACAGAAAAAGAGACGCACGGCCAGTTATAAATGGACTTCCTTTTTGGCTAGAGTCGAAATGAGGATTCCTCACTTCTTTCTCTATTTGAGAAACAAATAATTTCTTTTTGTACCTTATGGTTGCATGGTCCAATGTGGGGAAGCAACAGAGGTCTTAAAAACGCCACCTACTGAAGGTGTAGTTGGGCACAAAAAGTGGCAAAATTGAAACAAACCACATGGGAAAACTGTGATTTAACTATACCAAAAATCAGTAACAAGATCAGTGCAAGAGAAAAACCCAACCTTGAATTGATGTCTGAAAAGAGAGGAAGTGGGTCTTGATGAGTTTGTCGCTTTGGACCTCCCTCCCTAAGATTTAGTGTAAACAGCTTCCCAAATTATTCTGTCAAGAAGCATAATCTAGTCGATGCCCATGGAGGGAGAGAGGGAGAGGGCGAGGGCGAGGGCGAGGGCGAGGGCGAGCGAGCGAGAGAGAGAGAGAGAGAGAGAGAGAGAGAGAGAGAGAGAGAGAGAGACAGAGAGAGAGAGAGAGACAGAGACAGAGACAGAGACAGAGAGTTTTCCTTGCTGGATGGGCAAAGCTGTGAAACTGAATGTGGCTAACCTTTTGAATCATGGAAAAACCAAATCACATTTCAGTTGAAAGGAGGTTCTAGGTCAAAAGGATCAAGGGCTAGAACTTTAAAATTGGGAGTGCATCATGTAGATTAGGATATTTATGTAATTTCAGGGTGAAGACTGAGAGAGAATTTCTCCATTTAATATTTTTTTGGTAAGTTAAGAGAAATTCACTGAGGCACCAAGGAGATGCCGACCCATTTACAAAAAAAGCTAAAAGCCAAAAAGGACTCATTTACGAGACAATGAATCAACAATGTCGATCAAAGCTTTGCAGATATTAATTTTACCAGAGGCACGGTCATTTCTGGAAGTATGTTTATGTAGATTGCCTCCTTAAACACTGATCAAAAGAAACTTTTTCTCTCGAAATGCTGTAGTGGTCCTCCGACTGCTGTATGTCCTCCACTCATTCTTCACTTTCCTCCATTTTCGTGACCTTGATGATATTTCTTTCTACCAAAAGGGGAAAAACAGGAATATGTGTAGCCACTAAAATTATAGCATTCGAAACAGGCAGGACAAATCTGCCATACATGTTTATTAAGTTAGACAAATTACCATTTGAAATGGCATGTGTTATGTGTATCCTCAAATTTTTGAGTTGATTATATTATGTGCCTTCTGGTAGCAAGAATCACTTATTGTCTGTTCTCTTAATCATAAAGTTTTATCCCACTTCCGTGTTGAATTCACTCATGGTAATTTGATATTATTTGTGACCACTTTCTTCTGGTCTAGTCTCGGCCTCTTTATTTCATGTCTGTTGTTAGATGCCCTCATTGGAAGTCTTTATTGTAATGCTGGCTAACCTTGAATCAAGCAATGGACCGTCCAACAGAATTTTATTGATTTGGAAGGACCTTGATGTGAATGACATAGAAAGATGGAAATGACGGATATCCTTGATGTAAACCTTCCTGAAACTGAAAAGCCACAAGTGTCGGCTGACTTTGCACAAATCTAATGGTTAAGTCAGATACGTCCTGTCCTGCCTATTCTACCCTAGACGCTTTCAGCCTAACAGATATAGGAAGAAACTCCAGTCATGATTTTCGATATCCCATCTGTATGTAAAACCTGGAATGCCTGCTTTTGGTAAGTTATGCATCCATATTTGGGCTACAAGTCTGTCTACCACGACTGAAGGTTTCTGGGAAACATTCACCTGACCCAACAACTATAATCGGTTGCCTGATATTTCAGCAATTAGCTTGATTAAGCCTCCAGCTAGACTAATGGTTCTATCAGCATTCCAAAACCAGTTTTGGAATGCTGCATAATTCAAGCTTGGTGAAAGTGTTGTGATTGATTGGATCGATCAGAAATACTTATTGCATTTTCTTTAAAATCACTCCGTCAAGCCTTAAAGAAGGTTATTCAAAAGCTTTTTTGAGCAGTGGCTTGGCTCCGTGACAGCATAATGTTTTCTCTGACTGTCAAATGAATTTTAATAATTGTCACTGGGCTACTTTTGCCCTTTGTACTAACAAGGGGAACCAATGCCTAAAAGGAGGAGTTTGGGAGATGGAGGTGCAATGTACAAGATCTGCATAGTCATTCGACTCCATTAATAACTGTCCACTCTAACCTCAGCGAATATAGTTGCTATGCTATCAATTCATTGATTGTTACTGCTATTGATCGCATCTTTGTGGATGGTGCACTTGTAAACATAATAAGGTGTCGATTTTAGAAAAACATATGATTAATGACATGGAGAATGACATTTAGAAAGGAATAGTTGGATAGTTTGAAGCAAATTAGTTCCCTAGTGGGAGATGCTATCAATGCATTGATTGTTACTGCTATTGATCGCATCTTAGTGGATGGTGCACTTGTAAACGTACTAAGGTGTCGATTTTAGAAAAACATATGATTAATTACATGGAGAATGACAGTTAGAAAGGAATAGTTGGATAGTTTGAAGCAAATTAGTTCCCTAGTGAGAGATGCTATCAATGCATTGATTGTTACTGCTATTGATCGCATCTTAGTGGATGGTGCACTTGTAAACGTATTAAGGTGTCGATTTTAGAAAAACATATGATTAATTACATGGAGAATGACAGTTAGAAAGGAATAGTTGGATAGTTTGAAGCAAATTAGTTCCCTAAGTGAGAAAAATGTTACCTCCAAAAGTTCAATTGTCTAATAAAAGTTTATGATTTTTGCCATATCTGTCGTTATCAAGGATTGCCAACACTTAAAGAAATAAATTGGAGACTATCACGCTGACTTAACTCATTGAAAGCATCTCACGTTCTTCTTAATGGGTTGCAGATGTCTTAGAGGAAATGATGAAGATTGGAATGAGCATTGAAGCTGTTGATGTCTCTATCGGTTTCGGTCTAGAGGATAATTTCCCCCCTCGGACAATTCTGAGATCATTTCTAAGTGAAGCTAAAGAAAGATGTGACAATAGTAAAAAAGCACATAGTTCACCTATGGCTGTGGTGGGTTTTCAACTCTGTTTGCGTCTTTGATGGATATTTGTTGAGGATCTTGCTTCATTTTGCTTCTTCACTGATGCTTCCATATTATAATATTTTGCAGAAGGCAGCGACCCAAAAGCAATTGACTGCTCTAAAGTCTAGTTTGAAATGTTTGGAAGATCATAATTGGGATCCTGCAAAAGTACTTCCTGGATGGAAATTAAAGGAAACGATAGTGAAGCTGGAGAAAGATGTTGCTGACATTGATAAGAAGATGAAGGAGAAGGTGGTTTCAAAGAGAAGGATTGATGTTGTGGAACCCTCGAGAACATTTAAGAGTCATGAGGCTAAACGCCCGAAGTTCTCGCCTGAAGTGGCACCCCGCTTTTCTCACCCATTCTTGGGTTTCCAAGAGCAAAAGGACAATAGTCGTATATTTGGTAGGAGTTTGTATGATGATGGTTCACGGCCAATATTTTTGTTTGACGGTGGACTCTCCCGGCATGGTAGCAGTTATCCCGCTGCATCATTGGTATCTCATGGATCTGGTGGGGGGTCTTTGCCAGAAACTTCCTTGAAATCCCCAATGCAGAGTGCAAATGCCTTGCATTCTGCTGGAGTTGGAGGTAGAGTCTCTGCTGGAATCAGCATGATGGCTGCAGGTGAATCTTCTGCTTTCCCTGGAGATAGATTGGCCGACAGGATTGGACTTGTAGGAAGTAGTAACAATGCTTCAATTGGACAATATGTGATCAGGGATGCCGCATATCGAGACCAGCTAGAGCAAAGAAATCTCGGGAGGTATACATCTCTGGGAACTGGTCACTATGGCCCCTCATTGGAAGGTTTCAAAGGCCTGCCAAAATTTTCATCCAGTAATGCCACTGATCACGGTTCAAACTTTGATTTATATGGTTTTGCTGATACCATAATGGAGCGGAGTCGTACATAAGCAGCATTTCTCATTATTCACCAGGGAGGCAGGTCCTGTCTTTCCTGTCCCGACTGCTCACAAGGTTCATCTTTGTGCTGAGCGAATCCAGATTGCTTAATTATAGGTCTTTCTCTTTCATGTTCAGGTATTAATTTGCATATGACGCAATGGGCAGTGGCTTTGATACCGATCATAATCTTGTCCAAGACTTTGAAATTGCTTTATTAGGAAAACCACTGCCATCTGTTAGTGGGCATACTCGTGATATTGGACAGTAAGTCATTAATGATGATTACTTGGTGCCAAAGCCAAACTCTCCAGGCAGATAGATGGGGAAAGGAAACTCAATCAAAGGGACTTTTAAGCTACAGTAGGTGGTAGGATCGTCGAGAAAGTTGTTTTGGAACTGGAGCTGAACTCTTGTAGCAAAGAGTGGTAAAGGATCAGGTTTCCCAATAACATATATTGTTTTGCAATAGGAGTCATTTCTTGAGGAAATCGAGACTCCGAAGATGCACACATTTTGGCTCAATTGTCATTTGTTAGTAGGGTAGCAACCCTGATTTGGCTCATGCAGCTCCCGCTGGCATATTACATTTTCGGGTGGGTCTCTCACATGTATGCATAAGTGTGTGCAGTTGCTGCTTCAGTTTTAGTTTCTATGGTGTTACTTATGAAATTTATCACCATGGGCTCTCCCTTTCTCTTGTTACCTGACTGCGATGTTGGCTTGCAAATTTGTATATAATGATTTCAACTTTGTGGAAGGCTGACAAAGTGAGGAGTCTTATATGATGGCGAAAATTCTTATGACTTAGTAATGACAATCCTTTTGCTCGGGACTCAAGCCTTGGACCTTAGTTACGTTAAAGCATAGCTCTTTCAAGTGATACGGTTCTACCCATGCTTCTTATATTACTAATTTGAACACTATAGGTGGACGAAAAGCTTTCGCAAGCTGCATTAACCATCATTTTTGTGCCGATTGATTGTAACTATCTATCCTTTTCCTAACCTGACATATTGTTGGCGATTCATTGTAACTATCCGTACCTTGTGATTCGAGTTGCTTGTGAAGAAATTCTCTCTATTGGAGGGTGCTTGCATTATAAATATTTACGGATCCTTATGTATGCATCCGAGCTCAAACAAGAAAATCACATTTCCCCTCAGGAAAGCACAATTGTAATACTTATTCGAAAGGTGCTCATGAAACAACCGTGTATATACTGTTGTGTACATAAACAAAAGCTGAAATTTTGATGGTAGATTGAAAGAAGTCTTTTTTCCTCAAATTCCCTTCCTCTTTCAACACTCTAAAAAGTAAAGCCAAAGTAAATGCAAAGAGCATGACGAATTCAAAATGGACTACGCTATGCGCGTAGGTCAAATCTCTTAAGTTAGAAGGCATGAAAGCTAATATCATGAGCACAATTAGGATGGCAATGGGGAGAAACAGCAACATGGAAGGAGGGGGAGGCAATGGCGGAAGAATGAGAGGTAGTATCAGCAGAATCGCCGTCAGGCACATGAGCAAGAGTATCCATTCCAAGCTGAAATATGTTGTCACTCGCGAAAATTTCCCACATCCTATTGAGAAGGAACTGCTACTGCTCTTTTCATTTTTTTTCCATCCAGGAATTGAAGTAGATGTCCTCCTTTCTCTTGTGTCCATGAATTGTTGGAGTTGATGGCTGATGGTTATGCTTTCAATACTTTCGCATTTGTGTTAGCAAGTTCGACACTCATCAAGCTTCCGAGGCCTCCCCCGAACGCTCGATCTGACTGAAACTAAAGCCAAATGAAACCAAAATTTCTCTCAGCAATCAACAATTTTTACACGCAGACCAAAAAAAAAAAACTCAACAATTTTTACACAAAAAAGGATCTTACTTGGACTTATAAATGAAAGACCCAAGTAAGATGAGGAGTCTGGTTCAATGGCTCAATCCTACTCTAGTTATTCGGTTAAATTCTTCCTTGTGACGACGACGACGACGACGGATCCCAAAAAGAATTTGCTTCCCTTGATTTCACCTAATGCAATTCAATTATGACTAGCGAGTAATACTAGAAATACAAAGCATTTACAATGATTGATATGCAAAGCTTATGCTTCGATTCAAAGGAGTTAATAGAGAGCCCCATTTGTTGCCAGAAATCAACCATCATTGAGGTCATGAAATTCAAGAACAAATACTATACATATGCAGCTGGTTTGGAAACAGGATAAAATTCCTCTTCTTTTTGGTTACTTCCCTTTTTTGGCCAAGGAACATCACAACGAATCAGACATCAAAGTGTGGTCGTACTGTTAATGGAGGTGTAGAAAAGAGGAAAAAAGTGTCAGTAGCTGATACCTTATTTGGCCTGAGATGAAGAACGGTTGGAAGTTTTATGAGGAACCCCTTGTTGAAATCCCTTCCCTGTGTCCTTGTACCAAGAGAATGAGAACAATGTCACTGGGTTTAAGGAGGGTGGTTCTTGCAAAAGTTAAATCATTTGTAAGATGTGACTTCTCGCTTTGAAAAAAAAAATTAGTTGAGTAGAGAGAGAGAGAGAGAGAGAGAGAGAGAGGTGAATGCATTGCATTTTCAAAGTTCTAGTGGACAAGGGGGGTTTTTTTTGCACAAAACAGCGGCTCTAGTGTGATTGTCATATCTCTGTCCCCAGCGTTCTTCTCCCCTGGACTCTTTCTCTCTTTAAACAAAAGCAAAAGCAAAGCCTAAGACTGACCCAATCTCATTCAATGTATGTTTATGCACTTGCATGTTTGATAAAGCGGTGAGTAGAAGTCAAACCCACGAGCTGCACGCGTCGGGTTCAGGCTGGCAAGCTGAAACACAAAATGGAGTAGATAGCAACTTCCTCAAGAAGCAATTCATCCTTTCACGAATCACCCATCAGTTAACATTAGCAGTCGGAGTAAATTCCTCATAACGTCTGCCGTAAGGGCGGTCTTTCCATTTTTTTTCCCTTCAGTTGCTGAGTGTGTTCTGGATGGAACACATTACAAAGTTTTGCTCCTTACCGTGGCTGTAATCGCAAAGCATCATCTCTAACGTAAATGATAAGTTTTTCTATTCTACACATGGCAAAAGAATCTTATCAACTTTTACGAAGAGCACTTGATAGTTTCCTTACCAGGGTACAAAACAATAAGGAGAGGTAGGGAAAAGGAGTACCTTGCTTGAATTGGTAAGTGTCTGGTCTCTCTTCTGGTTGAAGATTGAACCTTTAATCCACCCTAAATCCTCGGTAGACATCTGCCGGTGCACATGAAGTCAAGTGGGCCTCAAAACTCAAGTACAAATTATGATAAGGTGAGATGGGAATGAGCATGCGCCATGTTGGATCTCGTTCCACCCAATGCACCTTCACATGTCAAGTCCACCACCTCCATTATTTTTTGTTCGTTTTGGTCCCTCTAATATTGTTTTACCGTCTTTTCCTTTTTCTACTAATCGTAATTCAGATGTTTATTCGTTCAATTTAGTCATTTAAATCTCTTGATTCCTATGACTTCTCTTATAGCTAGCTGCTGGCTGCTCTTCATCAAAATGTTGATCCGTAACAATGGCAGAAAAGTTTTTTCGAGAAACAATTGAAATTTGATAAAAGAACTGTGATCGACGAATTATTAATCCACAGTATCACAGCCTTATGACAGTTCAGGAGCTAACGTTCGATTCTTATATCGAAGCACGCATATCGGCTTTCTGACCTTCGCAAAGATCGAGAGGACAAGAAGTGTAAGTAATAGAGGGGTCCGCAGTCATCCCTGTTGAACATGTTTACAAAACATCAAGTCCCCAAGCAAACTTGAAAATCAAGTTGTGGATTTAAGAAACGTTATTAAATCACATCTGCTGTCTCCCCAACTTTGTTATTGTACAAATGGAGAATCAAAATCGTCTTCTCTTGAAAGAAACAAAGGGCAAACGAATGTGTTTCAGAAACAGGTTCTCTCCGCCCACAGAAATTTTCCCAAGCCCTCTCGGCCTCGGCTAGGCCGTCAAATTGTTCACTCTGCTCAGCTTCTTGATCTACAAGAGCATTTCCCGAACAAAAAACTACAAGTGATGTTATTGAAATTAATGTCTACATCTATTTGTTCGTTATTCAAAAACGATATTCTTCGTACTCATGGGGTGTAATCTACTTCAACGATAAGAGTTGTTGAATTTACTTTCTCCTCATTTGGACAGCTTCACGTGTAGTGCTTATAACAAGTACGATATTCATGCGGCGTGTTTCACGGGAATTTTTCGTTTTTTGGGCTAACACTTGACACTGGACTACACTGCAACAGTGTTGGTAGCTGTAGAAATCATCATCACTTTCACGGACAGGCAGACTGGTTCTTGGGAGAGTCGGCAGCAAACTCCATCGATCTCAAATCAACAGAACAGTTGCCAAATGCTGCGGAGTCCATTGAATATTGATACGAGACATGAGCTGCTGTCGAGTGGTCGAGATGATGCCACTTTCCTGTAAAATCCAATGGAATTGCACCCACCCTCTCCGGAATTGTGGCGATTTCAAAACCGGGAGAGTGCACGCTTTGGAACTGTAGTGAAACTCCCTACTTCGCTACGGAAATATTGCTAACTGTAGCTATGCTTTGAAGAATCGAGTGATTCGAGCAAAGTGGCAAAGCTCATCATGTGAGAAATATCGGGAAACATTAGAACCTGTTCTTTCTGTGTGGGAGGGCAAGAACTGTACGGTTGGAAGTCGAATGCTAATGTTGGAGAGCTACATAGAACTAACTATGCTCCATACTTTTGCTGCCCATCGTACTGAACTGTAAATCAAATAATCTAGCTCGCTCACTCTTTCAGATCCTAACTAAAAATATGTTTTCGAGTGATTTGTCATTATAGCTAACAGCGCATTTATCCTCAGCGGCCACACATCAACAGAGTTCACTTAATATCTTTGGCCCATCCCATGTACGGGATAGCTTCTTCAGATGGGTTTGAAGTCGATGCTGAGTAGAGAGGAAACGACATTGACTAACTGACGGGGCCCGGAGATTCAGTGGCCAAATTGGATATAACAAAGGGAAATCAATCCGCTTACCATATCAACCGATGCTTGGACAAGCATCAAGTAAAGCAACACAACCAACGACATTGAGAAATGAGGTAAGGATTTTCCACATAATCTCTACCTTCCGAGAACATGAATGTAAACAGAAGCTGCACACAAAACTGATTAAAAGATCTCCTTTCCACCGGACCTACCTAAAGAGTCAAAGATAGACACTTTTCACATTTCAGTCGAGATAAGTAGCAAGACCAAGGAGTCCAGATGCTCTGGTTTCCAGAATTGTTACAGTTATGAGATTATGCACTCCTGACGAATTCCTAGGAAACCAACAGCCACAAGCATTTCCATGAGTTCAATATGATTGCCCGAAACCAAGAAAACCATCACTCCTTATATAGCAAATACTATTACATTCATTAGCATCTAAAACAGATACGGCAACGGTGACTAATAGCCCCCTCTCATTTGCCGAACATAGTCTGAAAAACAGGTTCATCTGGTCATTGAGTCCACACACCCTCATAGAAGTTCTTAAAATACATGCCAATGCTGTCTTGACACCAGCTGTCACAGTGGCTGTGCAAGAAAATACAGTGCCACGGTGCAGCATATATCGGAAATTAACAACGAACACATACATAAGCAAATTTAAAAGCTGATATAACAAGTAAATAAATCAAGACCAGAAGCTGACAGCTCAAGTTGAAATTGGCCACATACTCTCTCGTTCAAGTAGAACTCTGCCAGGCAAAAATAACTATCTTCCTCAGAACATCTTCAATCCTGCAACAATAGCAAGTTCCATGAAGAGTCAGCCATAAGCGGCTACTTCAGAAGCTCAGCAGCAAATGCACAGACATGGAGGGATAAAGATAAGACTAAACTTGTGCAGAACCACGACTACACACAATCTACTTTGCCAGTAAGATACTCATTCATTCTTTTGCCAGATATTCTACTCATTAGTGGGAGGACAACAAAAACACGTGCATAGTGAATAGAAGAGTTTAGCATCAGATGGAGTTTCTCTGTATGCGCAAGAGGACAATTCGAGAGGAAGAAATTGAGGGTTGAGGTGCACAAAGCTCAGTTTTCTGGAAGAATTGAAAGGATGAAAAGAGGACATTAAATTGTTTCCCAGCAAATTAAGAAAGAGATGGAAAATTTCTTGGTGTGATGATAAGTGGTATAAGTAGTGGAAACATAGAAGCTAAGTGGCCATTGGAGAAAGATGTTTTATCAAGATTAAATTTCTGCTTTACATTAAGAGCATAAAAACTAAATGCGCTCCAAATTAAAGGCAACAGATTAACTACCTCCTCGTCATCGTCGTCGTCGTCATCGTTCTTTTTTAGGCGGGTAGTTCCTCCTTCCTTGCTGATGGGCAATTTCATAGCTCCAAAAGGTGTGTCCGCATTAATATTTCCTTTCATGGTGTAACCTGTGCCTCTCCCCCTCATCATATCCCACAACGCAGAGCCAAATTCTTTTGGTCTGAAGGTTATGGGAATCAGAAGTTTACTGATACCATTTTTGCCGATTGTCGTAGATTCAGAGAGCTCAGCACCTCCAATGCTCTCATCGGCCAACCAAATCTCATAATCAAGGTCCTTAAGTCCCAAGTCGAAGTCATTCTTGTTTTCCAACTTCAAATGAAGAACTGCAACGGTTTCCTCAAATGAGAATCTCTCAAAATGTATTTTCTCGACATCAATATCAGGCTTGTAAGGAATGGGGATTTCTCCAGTTTTCTCAAGTGGCAAAGTTAGCCTTCCAAAGACCGGCACATCAATGATGAGTTCAACCTTAACCTTGTAGGGAATGATGCTTCCAGGCTTGATGTCAGCATATGTGCTCTTTATGTCATCATATATCAAATTAACTGGAATTTTGACCGTTTCCTCTCCGTGTGCACGGATAGTTCCAGCATCAGGGATTAGTCCAGAAACCAGCTTTCTTCCATCACTCTCGATCAAATAGTTTATGTCAATAAGAGGTATCGGAACAGGATTCGGATTCTTGATCAGAACATCGACAACTAATTCTAACTTCTTGAGATTAATAGAGGGAATGTGAATCCCTGCGACGTCTGCAGTTGGCTTGCCAAATCCAATAGCTCCCTCGATCTTTTCACCAATGTCTTGAATGAAATCCTTGACCTTCTCCATGAACCCGCCCTTACCTTCATCTTTCTCCTCTTTCTTCTCTTTCTCCTTCACATCCCTATCCACTTTTTCAGGTTGGTCGGAAGACGCCATGCCTTACTTCAAGCAATTCACATGGCAAATGTGGACCGAGTTATGAGAAAATTAAAACTCTAGTAAGGAATCAACAGAGATCGCATGAAACAGAAAAACATACAATAAGCTATGAGAACATTAATCATGAAAAGAAAAAAAAGCGCGCTTCACACAAATCACAATACAAGACTTTGCATAAACAGTGACAGGGTATAATCAACTATCACAAGGAAACGATTTGACTAAGAAGAAATGCAAATTTAATGCCAATGCCAAGCGAATGATCACTTGGGGTTGAGGCAACGTTTTGCAGAAATGCAAATCCAAACTCTGACATGGGAATAGACATATCGACTCCGCCAATCGGCAAAACAATTAGAAAGCAATCACAACCACGGCACAGTCAGTGTACAAACCCCTTTGCTAAGTCAAACACCATCTCAAGAAGTCCCAAGATCCCCAAGTTGACACGAACACGAGCAAAGCAGCAAAGCCTGGAGGGCTTGGCAATGGCAGCCGACTCGATGCTAATTCTAAAGGTACAGAAAGCCAGTAAACTATGAGTAGGAAGGAGATACAGTGCAGATCGCACATGATCAACGACACGAATGCAGCGATCAACGGGAAAACGAGTGGGATCATTACACTCGATGGGTGTGGGATCAGAAAGAGATACCGAAGCGAATCATGGAACAAGATCTGAACAACAGAACAGAGACGGGGGCTTGGCAAATCGCAAAGAGTTCAATTCTGAAGCAGATCTGGATGCATCATCGCAGCGAGACAACAGAGCAAAGATCGCAATGGCAGTCGCGGGATGAAGGCGAGAGCAGTAGAGCAGAGGAGAGACGTGCGGGGGGGGGATCATCAACGGAAACAGACAAGTACGCACCTCGGAGTCGAAGATCTCGCGATCAGCAGGAGAAATTGCGGTCGCAGGAGGATCGGAAACGAGTGACCAAGGTGTGTGCGCGCGTGCAAGTGACCTTGATAATTCTTTTATGGAGAGAGAGAGAGAGAGAGAGAGAGAGAGAGAGAGTTTTATGGAAGAAGAAGGAAAGAGAAACAGGGACAGACAGGACAGCAAGGCAGGCAAAGATGATATTTATCAACGTCATTAACGTCGCGCCATCTGTGGAGTTGCCGACCACTCCCTCGCTCGCTCGCTCGCTCGCTCGCAGACGGGGAAGGACGCGCACGCACGGGGCCCCACCATTTACGCGCAAATCTGTCGACGCCTTTATCATCTTTTCTTAAAAAAAAAAAATGGGAGAGAATCTCTCTCACTAAGATGGGCTCCGGAGACATCGTCCAGCCTGATCAGCCCATTGCATAAGAGCTCGTCCAAGCGAGCTTATTTATTAGCTGAGCTTCACTCGCACCTCCCACGACACTCGCACCTCTGGCCATTTCGTTGCAATTAGTTTCAGGGTTCATCAGCCTGAAATGATGAGATTCCTGGTAACCCATGTTTGATATCCCCAACCTTATAGTAGTCTTTTTAGTCTAGTTGATGGCCTGGTTGAGACCAGTTACATTATCGTCCGCAAACCAACTTAGGACAAGTCAATCGTTAGCTTTCTCCCTATTCACGATCATTCCAATAAATTCCAAGTTAAAAGAAAGAAGTCCATCCCCCATCAAATAAACAATACAATGTGCAAGTGGTCGTCTGCATGTTAACTGGTAAAGCGGCTACACGCCGGAACGATGCAATTGCAGGGCTGACAACAAAGCCAATGCATTCCCCCCCACTGCTAGTAAAAGGATGATTTTACAGGCTCGTCCTGCCAATGCCTAGTCTGGTCTGGCAAGCATAATCTATGCCACTAGGCAACCCATGCAGATGGTAGGACATCAGCCAGTTATCGATACAGCACTCGGACATATACAGATGAAACTGAAACTATTTATCTGATCTCAGGACTTCCTTGTCTACTACTCGTGTAGGATCTGATGATAACATTTCCCATCTCTACTGAAAATTAGGACAGTCGGATGGAAGACAACGGGTTGGCATACCCAGTTGTCGTGGTAACTGTGATCTCTTCTGTTCTTCTTAAGGTGGGCAGTTCATCCTTGCTTGTTGACGGGGTTTCTCCAAATGGTGTAACTGGCCCCTCTCTCCCAATCATGTCTCAGGGAGCAGAGCCAAAATCTTTTGCCTGAATGTCAAGGCAATAATAATGCTACCGATACCTCTTCTTCAGAGAGCTCTGCACATCCAATGCTCACATTAGCTAACCAAGCCTCATAAGTCATAACCAAGGGCATTGAGGGCTAAAATAAAAGTCATTCCTTCATCCAAACTTCTAATGCAGGATCGCAAAAGTTTACTCCCATATAAAGCCTTTCAACAGGTTCGCTCATTAACAGTTCCAGGAGGCAGGGGGGGGATGCTGAGAAATTGATTCTCATCACCTTAAAATTATTAATTATTCATATCTAGACTACATCTATTATCCAATAGAAAAAACTAAAGAGGTTATTTTTCAAGTATAGAAAGTTCAATCCAGGACTAAATTAGACACTGCAGCATGAACCTCTGACACAATACCTTGATGAAAGCCTTGCCTGCAGCAGCGCCTATGCTGCGTGAATTTTGGCTCAATTTATATGATCTTCAAGAAGTCCCCTCAGGAAGTCTAGCTGCTCATACTCACCCCGAAGTTCCTCCCACTACAGGTAACAACAGAGAAAGCCATTTTGCAATATCAGCTCCTGAGATATAAATCTTGAAATAGACCAATGCGGTCCAGTCTTGTATTACTACAAACAGTACGGTATCTTCCAGATAGCATGGAAAGAAGTAGCAATGTTCAGACCTCTTTCAGAATGTCGTTTTTTTTTTTTTTGGTAAGATAAGTGGTCTTTCAGAATGTTGTTTTTTTTTTGGTAAGGGTCTTTCAGAATGTTGTTCAGATCTCTATACTCCTACAAATCTGGATAATTTTTTAACAGGACTAACCATTGTTTCCAGGATTTCTAATTCACTTTTCCAAGGATTTCTAGTATTTATTAGTGAAGATAAATGTCTAATGTTCCACTACCATTCAGAAAATCAGTGAAACAAACCTCTTGATAAGATAAAGAAACGAGATTCCAACCAGCTGCAGCAATATACCGACGCTTAAGCATTGTATGTCCCAAGGGTACTCCTGCATGACATAGTAGCGCTGCTACAGCAAAGAAAAAATTGACCCGAGATCCAAAAAGAAGATGTTTCAATTTGTAAATGGAGTCTCACCACTATTTCTTGAGAAATGGGTTGGTCCATCAATCTCCAATGCTACTTTCTTATCAACCAACACAGCATCCAATGTGTATCCATCAACAACGTATTCTCTAACCCAATGAAGGCCGGTGCTTACCAGGAGACGCGCGACTTCTTTCTGAAATGATGAGGTAACTTTCTGATTAAACCTTTTAGTTTTTCCTGCTCGACCAACTTTCTCCTCGAGATCATTAGGAAGGCACAAACAAAGATGTGGGTACTCCAGCTTCAAGCACTGATTGACAAGATGAACCTGAGAAGCAAACATGATATCTTCCCTGAATTGTTCTGAGATCCTCTGCTCCTCGAAGTAGCACAAAGTTTTCCATATGTGGGAAAAGAACATACGGTCCAGTTGTCCAAGAACTGCATAGGACCAAGCTATGTTACCCAGCTGATCTCTACTTAGGTTCAGATTAGGAGAGTCCAGCACTCCATCTATCTCAAGATCCAATATGTCTGCCTTGCCGATAATTTCATTATTCTTACCAACTTCCTTGCGAGAGCAGAACTCGAATTGGTTGGCATTCCTAAAGACATTGTCCAGAGATTCCAGGAAAGGATCAGCAGGTTCATTTAAAGAAGCAAAGGCCCACAAAAGCTGAGCAAGTTCCTGCTCTCGAAAAGTGTGAATAATATCGGATGCTCTCTTAGACAATTCCGGAAAAAGATCAGGAGCAGAATGTTGCATCAAAGCAAAAGCGCCAGCGATATTTGCCACGTTCTGAGAATTGAACTCCCCTACCTTGGCCAAGGCCACCTCTGCTATCCTATCCATTTCTGAAATGTAAAGCAATTCCCCTCCAATTTTAGATAACGCCCACGAAATATTTGATATACCTTGAGCCGAGCATTCCGGTAAGGCCATCATTGCAAGACCCACAAGAATCGACATCTCCCGCTGCCGGGCAAATGCTAACCTGCGGTTGCTCATCATCGAGACTTTCTCCATATTCTTGGCGATTCGATGTAGCGCAGTAGCAATGTTCAAGGGGGACAGAGGGGAAGGGCTCAAGCCTTTCCTGACCGCCACGATCATATCTGCAGTTATCTCGAGAACTTCTTCAGCAGTCTGCGCTTCTACGATATCTCTGTTCAAGTTAACTTCTTTCCTGCGGTCCGACGATGCCTCCGAGAATTGGGATAGCCTCTGGACAAACTCTGCCTTTGTTTTCCCCTTCTTCTCCTGGAACATCCCACCGGCGATTGTACTCACAGTCTTACTCAAGTCATCAATACCCAAATCCTCAATGTCTTCCAATTCCACATCTTCATCCACATCCAAGTCCCATTCTCCATCGCTATCAATCCCGTCCTCTTTATCGGTTTTCGACTTGTTCCCGAGCTTCTTACCGCCGTTTCTCTTCTTATTCTTATTCTTCTTCTTCTTCTTAACGGAAACCAAATCTTCCATAGTACGAGAAAGCCCCCGAGCCTCAATCCCCTTAAGAGCAACCTTTCTAGCCCTCACACACCACTCCATAGCATCGGTGTCGCGCAACAGCTTAGACTTGTCCTGTTTCTTCCTCTTTTTAGGGGATTGAAAGCCCAAAGGGTCAATCTCACCAAGCAATTCCAGCTCCCAGTCATCTTTAACATCAGTGGAGGTCGCAACGCCATCCCCACCATCTCTACTCAAACTCAAACACGAGCAGTTTCTCGACGAAGGACCCGTCTCGGGTTTCTGGTGGAGAACCCCGCTTCTCAAGTTCAAGCACGAGAAGGGTAGAGCGAGAAGCGATTTTGCCGGGCTAAAAGCGAAGGGTCTTGACAATAGCTGGTGAGGGAGGGCGGTGTTACATAACCCCTCCATTCTTTTGCTTAAAGCTTCTGCGAATGCGAAAGAGGAGAACGAATAACTCTTACCGACAAGAAAAGGACCGGTCCAATTCTCAACCGCAGAAGACGAGGTCGAGGCCAGCAATGAAGAAGGAGGAGGGGCCTCCCAAAGCAAGCAAGCAAGCAAGCAACCCAGCTCTTCAGGAACGATGACGAAACCAAGGATGCGATTGAGGTGGCAATGGCACACACCAAATTAACAGATACGGTACAGGGAGCTTTTGCAAATATATATTTTTTGTTTTTCACGCCCTTTCTATCCTTTTATATTTTGTTTTTTGTTTTTTACAGGATAATCTTTTGCATTTTAGCATTGACCCAAACTATTCGGATCCCGGCCCATTTATTAAGTTGGGCCCGGGGCCGTTCGGGCCGAACCCAAACACTGTTATACAGTGTTGAATTTCAAGCATTAAAGTTTGAGCATAAACATCTTAATCTCATGCCCTAGACAAAATTCGTAAAAAGATAAATCTCATCTTCAAAAAATGACTCAGCATGAGCTGCTAATCCAAGCAAGTTATTGACTATTGACGACATCGAGGAACAATCCTTAAAATATCTAGTACGGTCCGAATCATTATGATCGAATTAATAAGAGAATAAGTAAGTTCTATGAAACGTGTCGAGATAATCCATCAAACGTAATTTACGAGAAAGAATTACCAAACCAAACGGCCCACTGTCTTCAAAATCAAACCTACCTCGTTGCCCCCGCCAATAAGAACAGTCGGTGCAAGAAGAGACGGACATAGGGAGAGTATATTCCCAAGACACTGGAGAGAATATGCTTCTTCTCCACATCAAGTGTGGAGAATCCTTCACTTTCTTTTGCTTTGCTCTTTTATGCTCCTATCTATCTTCCACTGAAGCTCAAAGCTCAAGGAGAGAGTGGGGGTGGGGGTTCTTCTTGGCTCCGGTCTCGCATTGCAGAGCATGGAGCTGCTTTGTTGATGGTCATCTAATCCCTCATCTTGTTGATCCTTTACTAATGAAGGGTCTGGGATTGGGATTAGATGACCATCAACGAACACTTCCATGAGGCACTTACCTCTGTATCGTTCCAGCTTCTCTTCAGCACCCGACGAGCTTCCGTCGGGGTACGTTGATTTTCTCTTTCCTTTTCCTCTCGCCTTCTTCTGTGACATGTGGAGAGAGTAGTATTACGGAGCAGTGATCATTTATCTAACACTCTCTGACTACACCGTGTGATGTGTGCGTTGTTCTCTTTGGGTTTTGGATGCAACGAGTCTGCTAATGACTGTCCGATATCTGCCATATGCTCTAACCCTTTGCACATTGTTTTGGATGGATACAAGATCACGCACGGTTACAAGAATCATTGATGAATTCGTTCAGCAAAACGATGATGTTCTTCTATTCAGTACACCAGGATGAATCGTTAGTTCAGAGGCCATGTGTATAGTTGTCGGAGTTTCCCTCCAAGTCCAACCACTCTAGACGGCACCCATCTATGCATTTGTTTCCATTTAAGCGTACCCGCACAAACTCTTACTCATTGTAGTCGTAGGTCGAGTGCTCAGTGAATAATACATCTGTAAATTTCATTGCCTTATCCCAAAAAAAAAGTAATGTAATTCCAAGTTTGAGATGGCTAAAACATATCTAATGCAGTTCCAGACACAGTTATTTCTCGGACAGTAAGTCTTCATGCCCCTGTAGTGTAGTGGCATAGTGATTGTCTGAGCAGCATCTTTGCATAATTACAGTCAAGGTAATTAATTAATGACAAAAGAAAATCGACCCAACACATTCTTTTTTCGATTTGACAAAATCTCAGTAAGTGCACCTGGTTTGAGCCTCTTATATCATCTTTTGTTTGATGTGTTCTTCGTTTCGTCGATAAACACGATTGAAGCTTGTTGGCTCAAAGGAAATTCACCTGAGATAGAAGAGGGAACTAAGGAAAGTGGTCACAAGCGGGTGACCACATTGCCCTCTATGTGTACGGTTGGAGGAAAACATGGACCCAAATATAGTTACTGTATTAGAATATGTGAATAGAATTCAAAATTGTGCATGCGACAATTGGCTATATTGCATAATTACACTTCGTGCTCTTTAAAGTCATGTTAGAAATTAGCACCTTCTGTCCGATATCAACGGAAGTTTTTTTCCTAGATCCAGGTCCACGTGAAGCAGATTGGTCACGATCGTTTTTCATAGGATTCCTGCAAATTCAATAGCTATGATCGTCTCAACAGTCCGCCGACTGCAATCCAGGCAAGCATCTTCCGAAATTGATACTTCACATCTTCTTGATCGCAGATTTTGGATCAATCCAATGGCACTGTAAGGAGCCTTCCATTAGACAAGAGACATGGATATGCTAAATAGGAGCTTAAAACTGCAAGTAAGGTCCATGATTGAGAACCATACACAACGAGGATGTATGTCTCCTCATGAAATTCATCACCATTTTGGGAGTTGAGCTCGTGTCCACTCTTCAGAATCCAACTCTTACTTTTGAACTATTTGTGTATAAGTCCTTGGATGGGAAAATTTTTCGTTCAAGTTCGGGAAATTCTGATAGATCAATGAGGTAACATGACAGTGATTTGTTATTACACGCTTCTAAATCATCATTTTCTTAATTGTTCATATATATATATATATATATATATATATATATATATATCGGTCTTACTCATCCTATAAAAAATTAGGTAAAAGTCCTAGGTTTTTGCTCTTTACTGAACACTGCAGTCAATTTTATTAGTCTAAGGTATGCTCAAGCTCCGTTCCACTGTTGGAAGGATGATAATTGAAATGAATGAGAGAGGGAGGAGCGACCTAACGATTTTGGATATGTGAGTTGCTAGGCAAGTTGCGTGAGGGCATAGATGCAGGTTCGCCGTCTTCCAAATTAGTCCGATGCGCTGTCTTCAAGCATGAAATGAAAGTGAGCGTCAACGAAAGTTATGGCATATTTAGTATATTTTTTCCCCTCATCTCTCTCTCTCTCTCCTATCTAAAACTTGACATTGGTCTCGAGTTTCTTAACGCGGCTAGGCATTACTTTGGGAGAAGTGGTGCCTTCTCACAAAAAGGGTCATGTTAACAAGGTTCAGGCGACTGCTAGAAACACAGGTCTCCACAAATTTGTAAGACCATGTGCGGGAGCTAATCCCTACCAGTACCGAAAAGTTAACAAAGTTGGTAACTTGATGATAGGGGAGCCGGCAACCGATGGCTCGGTGAACAGTGGCCGTTACTACAACGATTCTAAGGTAGTGAAATTTGCGGAGAGAGAAAAGAGATTTTGACCACATGCTAGGATTCGTGAGATTTGGTTCAAGTATGTTGACTGACGTGGTCTATCAATGAATAGATAGATGTCGGGACAAAATATGAATTCATAACGGTGGGGACAGCTGATCTGCACCCGATTAGGATCACCAGAAGGAAAGATGTATGGGAGACAATAATAAGCAGTAAGAAGCCGATGTAGAGTCTTTCACTCCCAAGTGAATCGATGAATAAATGAAGGTAGCTGCTGTAATGTAACCATTACTTTATACGACGACAATCGAATGAAGCAAAATCAATGATTGGCAAGTCATTATGTGTCAGAAGGACGGATGAGCTGCCACATATCATAAGGCTAAACCAACTCCGTCAAGTTTAGCAGACTCTAAACTCCATAACAGGTCATACGATCCCTAACAAAGCCAAATTCATGTGAAACATCACCCATGATACAAGGACGCTCAAGACCTGCTTTTCCTACTAAACAAACCACAGGCCATGATTACATGAACAAAATTTCTTTACCCTCGGACATCAAGTGGGTTTCACTTGAAGAGGACGAGGTTTTTACATGAAGTTTCTTCCAACCCAGAGAAGCAAGCGAAAATACTCCATTTCTATTGTGAGAAACCACCAGTCATGCAAGAGAACGTCCTTTGTTGTTGGCTCCGAAACCGGATGAGCTTTTGCTTTGAACTATGATGTTGTCCACGACAAACGCCTTCATCATCCTTATTGTTTCCCTTATATTCCTCCAAGGAAGCCGGAGAGCCCCCATACGACTTGAACCGACTGTGGCCACCATTTCTCTCCTTAACATGATACTGGGGCGTCATATAGCCATGACGACCGTCTCCAAGGACGACATCGGGATTGAGGTCGGGTTGGTCGTGAGGTTGCGCCACGGCTCCTGACGAGAGACATCTGTAGCGTCTCCGACCGTTGCTTCGCTTGATCGCCTTGCACACCATTGGGATTAGACCCTCCATTTTAGCAGAGATGCGAGTGTCTGAGGAAATGCAAGAATGGCAATGCGTTCATTTTGTACCCGAGGTCCTTGGAGTCAAAGAACGGGGAAGGTGTTGGCTCATTGGGTTCGGTAACTCTGATTGCGTGGGCACAAGAATGGGCAAATCCTATTTGTTTGGCCCTGCGTCCTTATTAAACAAGTCGGAAACATGCTGGGTCTAACACGGTAGGTTCGATAATCATTTGACTTTCAATGAAGAGGGTGAGATTTGATTGATGACGCTGTCACCCAACCATAAACCTTGGCCACACCTTCAAATTTTGCTTACAACTTTTGTATGTCCAATCTTAAATCCAACAACTATGGAAAAAGAAAATGGATATGACTACTAGTACGCTACTCCCCCCCAATTGACTTTTTTTCAACATTACTATAATCGAAGCGAGCATGCGGGACCAAAATAAAAATAGTGGATCAAATGCAGGCTCAATCTGAGATAGTAGATATATATATTTTTGGGTTGGAAAACATGGTAAACTTTTATTAAATAGAAGTGTGAGAGTACACGATATTTGCTTCTAAACCTACCAACTCCAAAAGGCTTTATATATGAGGGCAAAGTCTATTTTTCCAGTGGGTTTTGACAACCCAATTCGCTAACTTCAGATTCCGGTGCTTCTTCACGTGGGCTTGGGCTTCAGTGATAAACGCGTTAGCCTCCCATCCGGATTGGTCTACTGCTCTGGTTATTGCCTTTAACAGATCGGACTTATCTACTCCAGCTTCAGTTCCACTCTGTCCTCAAAGTGAGTTAGAGTTTTGATGATCGTTGTTGCTTTCGCCTGGACCGTTGAGATGACCCTCACTGATCGAGCAAACCCATCAATCAATTTACCATGGCTATCTCGACACACACAGGAGATAGCACCTTCATCGATTCCCTCTACAAACGACCCATCCACATTCATTTTAGGTATGCTGTGGGTTGGAGGTCTCTAGAAGTGAGGTAAGTCCCTAGTTGCTCTGACCTAACCTATTTTACTTTCACCTAGATCCATCAAACGAGTGGGTCGGATCGAAAATGGTCCAATCCAAATTAATCCATTTCCATGCATTACAAATATAATGACCTATTTTAGACCTGACCCATATTGCTAAAATACTTTTATATTTAATTAAATATGATAAAACTCATATCCAAATTGAGTTGAGTGCACAGAGTAATCGAACGTGAGATCGAATGAGGACGAGAGAGAGTGAATAGAGAGTCACAGAGGTGAATTAGTTCTAAGTAAGTTGTGAATCCTTTTAACATCCATATTTTTTTGGGCTTTACTATTCTAAATTTATTTACGACTCATTTACCGAATATGACAAACCCATATAACAACTCAGCCCATTAAATATGGGTTATGAAATGGGTTTATGACCCATTTTGACAGGTCTACTTTCACCCATATGTTGAAGTTGTGATTTATCACAATGCAGATTCTATAAGATGCCAGGTATTCGAAAATTGAGCTCTAAAGAAATTTAAAGGAAATTGAGGTAAGGTTGAAATCCATAAGTCATTCTTCTAGTCTTGTTAAGCCACGAACATCGATTTGGATATTAATGGTAGGGTCGTCCCATATCTGTTTTGTCCAGGGACAAAGAAGGAATATGTGTTTGATTATTTATGGTTGTTGTTGCCAAAGTGCACAGGTCGTATCAGGTAAATTTTTCCTCTAGAGCAAGTTATCTTTAGTTGAGAGTGTATTTTGGCATAGGCTCTTGAGAAAGATTCTGATTTTGGGAAGGGTGTTTGCCTGCCAAATTTTGTTCCGTAATGCTGTAAGGGTCTGATATGATGATGAGGTATGGTGCTGATTTGATTTTTGTGATTCCTCTCTGAGTTGATTATATGCGCTTTTCACTGTATTCCTCCATGCCTTGGTTTAGTCCACACTAGCATATCTTCTGTTGGCTGTGAGCTCAAAGGAATAGCTAGGATTTCCTAAGTAATATCATGATAAAACAACTCACTCAGTCTCCACTCTTTCCACTTAGCTTCCTCCATAACTATCAATTCAACAACCAATTTGGGGTCTCCTCTGTTGGCAAGACCCCCAATCAGTGCTCTTGGCAACTATTTATCCTTATAAATATCAATTTTCTCACCATTACCAACCACCCATCTAACCGAAGGATAGATAACATCGCCACCCAAAAGTAGACTTTGCCAACCTCAAGAAGGACGATAACTCTTTTATCCATGCCAAAGGTCACAATGAGGGAAGTATAAACCTTTATACTACTTTTGGTCGTCCGGATAAAAGCCTGGATAGGATTTGTTTTATCCTATCTTGTATTTAGTAGCTATCCAAGATAGGATAACTGGGGATATAGAGGGAATATGGCTAGGACAAAATAATCTCAGGGGGGAGGTGGGATAGAGCCAGATAGGATTTCTCAAAAGAGCAAGATACAAGGAGACAAGTTTTTCCCCCAATCACCACCTCTCTTCTGTGCCTAGCCACCTCTTCGCCATGCCCAATCGCCTCTCTGACGGTGGGTTGCCTCTCCACTGTGCCCAACCGCCTCCCCGGCGGCGGGCCACCTCTCCGGTACCGGTGACTGGCCCGTGGGAAGATGAGCAAAACTAGAAATATATTTTCCACTTGATCAAAGAAAAATCAGCAGAGACCATAGCATGACCTCAAAAAATTTTGCTGCTAACCTAAAAAACAAAAACAAAGTCCAAACACAGAAACAAATGAATTTTAAATCACATAATTCTCCTCCTATGTTCAAAATATGATCTCCTGCTTCAAGAAGTGTAATCTTCACAAGGTCTTTGACTCATATAGCCGAGCAAGATCTTTAATCGCAAAGTCATGAAACCTTGCCGCAAATTCCACTATCCAATTGAGAAGCACATCAATCTAATAACAAAGTAGACCAAATCAACATCTTATCTTAGGTGATACATGTACCTTCAAGAAATGGATATTCTCCTCGACACAAGGCGTGTTGAATGTTTTTGCACGGGCTCCCACAGCTATTATGAGATAATCATACTCTATTGCAAATTCTTCTTATCCGACTTTACATCCTTAGTCTACCAAATAGTAGATAGGATAAGACAAAATCCTTGGATTTCTTATCCTACCCTATCCAGTCTTATCATGATTAAAAATTCAAACGGCCAAATACAACCTTAGATGCTTGACTCCACAAAGTGATTGCATTTTGAATCAACCTCCAAGCTTGCTTTCCTAGCATTTCATTGTTAAAAGTAATTGAATCTCTAAAACCTAGACCTCCATCATCCTTCCAACATTCTAGGACATCTCACTTTCTCCAATGCATCCTAGCCTAATTTTCATTATTTCTCCTGTAAAACTCACCAAGCTTTTGTTCAGTGGCTCGACAAATAGAGAAAGGAATTTTGAAAATAGACATCACATATTGCAGTAAATCTTGCCCATAGTTTACTTCCTTGACTTTGACATCAATTTTTCTTTCAAACCCTCTAGTTTCATATTGACTCTAGCCAAGATCAAGGCAAACATTTGCTTTTTTTTAACATTGCTACTTCCTAGCTTTTATATGCCCCAATATGAAGGTTTCCGCAAGTACTTCCCAGTCTTTTGAAGCCGTGTTTCTTCTTAAGTTTTGAGCACAATCTCTACTAAAGAACATGTCTGATTTATTCAAATAATGGGTGAGTATGGTCCAGGTGGGCGGTTTCCACTCTAGAACTGGGAATCGCCCACTAAGAACCGGTTCTGAAAAATTGAAACTGGGAATCGCCCGTTGGTTCCATGAATCCATTCGAAACCGGACCGCCGGTCTGGTCCAGTTCTCTGGTGGGTTCATGGAACCAGTCCCACTAGCCAAGAACGGAGACGGAGATGGAGAGTGGGAGACAATGAGGTGAGTATTGACCGAGAAGAGTGAGAGAGTGAGAGTGAGCATGAACCGAAAGTGAAAGAAGGTGTTTCTCGACTCAATGTGAGGCTGTGAGCGTCAAACGACGAGCAAGTTAGGTTTAGTTTAGGGATTTAGGATTTTTATTTTTTTAAAAAAATAAAAATTAAATAAATATATTATATTTATTATTATATTACCGGTTCGGTCCGGTCCGGGTGGGTGGGCGGGCAGTTCCACACCTGGAACCGGGAATCGAACCAGTACCCACCGGTTCCTAAAAATTGGACCGGTTCTTTTAGGAACCACTGGTTCCGGGTAGTCCCAGGCGGTCCCAGGCAGTCCGAGCGATTTCCAATTTTTTTGCACACCCCTAATTCAAATTAATGATTTGTCCATGGGCAAAACAATATTGATTCAAAAAAGCAGCAGCGTTATGACATTCATAATGTTGTCATGAAGTTGTCGCTCACTCATAAAAGCACTCTGCTTAATTTGCAATCAACCTAGGTAGCTAGGGTTTAAGTCTATTTATCATAACATTAAAAATGATTTTGTACACGAAATTACATAGACTGATAGGCTGGTGTTACACATGCCAAGTCATGTTCTTCATGATTTGTTCACTTCCATAAAGTTCCGTCCAGTTTTTGTCGGTCATTCACTTCATACTTCGGACTCGTTTGATATCGGCAAAGTATATCAACTTCACTCTAACTTTTATCTCCCGGTCCTTCCAAGCATATTGACAATTATGGCTCTACCTTGCTGTTCACCTATCTATAGTACCTTCAAGTTTTACCGAACTCCCCATTTTAGGCTTGTTTACCTCTTACTCGAGTACTTCTACGCCCAATGCCATATTCACCATCGATAGAGAACCCATAACCTTTAGGCGTCGTATTAAGACACCATTTGCATAACGTCTTGTACATCTTTTACCTGGTTGCTCACCTGGTTATATCCAATTGTTTCCTATCGGGCACTTCGAGTACAATGATTATGTATATCCCGTAGACTGTTCGCCTTGTTTGGTACCTTCAAATCTTCATAAACTTCCAATTCTTCATGATTTGTTCACCTCCACGAGGGTCCGTCCAGTTGTTGTCAATCTTTCACTTCATACTTCGCATACCTTTATATCGGCAAAGTATATCAACTTCACTCTATCTTTTATCTTTTGGTCCTTCCAAGCATATTGTCAATTGTGGCTCTACCTTGTTGTTCACCTATTCATGGTACCTCCAAGCCTTACCGAACTACCTATTTTAGGCTTGTTCACCTTCTACTTAGGTAACTCTAGCTTGTAGATAACTCTACGCCCAATGCCTTGTTCACCACTGATAGAGAACTCATAACCTATATGTGTATTGTTAGGACACCATTTGCATAATGTCTTGTGCATCTTTCACATGGTTACTCAACCATTAAACACATTTGTAACCTTTGACTATTTTGTTATTTTCAAAACATCACAAGGGATTTTCCCGACAAAAGCAATTTATATTCTCCCTAACTATACATAAATACTAATCAAGTAGCGATTAAATATCTCGAAATCCTATTGAGATGCACAAGTTCCTGAAATAGTCCAGCATCATTTACTTTGGCTGGGTTAGTTCTCAGATCCAGTGTCATTTGCATTCTTTTGTCAAGAGACGCTTAACACGGCCATAACTTTGGTAAGCAAAGTCTTGGCCTTTTTCTTCCCTTCTATATTAGAAAATCACATAAAAACATTATATGAACACAATTTACGTAGACCAAAATCATTATAACCGTCGAATATATGACATGTGGTCGAATAGAATGCCAAGTTTTCCATTTGTTTCAATCGAAATGTCGGGAGAAATTTATGGCCGGATTATTGAAACATATGCAATACAATACAATTGGGTGAGCTTGATGATATGAACTTTTTAAGTCTTAACTGTAAGAACGAGCCTTCGTTCGAGTCAAAAGTACAAGTAGCTCATGTGTACAAGGCGCATTGGCCAAAAGGAAATGAAATTAGTTCTTGAGATCACGATGGAATATATACCACCAACTTCGCCTTGAATGTTGTATGCGTAATGTCTATGTGAGATTTTATGAGATCATTACCAACTGTTCTAAAAGTTTAAGCTTGTTGTATGAAAGTATAGTTTAATATTTAAATATTCTGGTAATCTATATTTAGGTATTGCGAGATCTGTCACTTCTTAGATTTAATTAACAAGATAAAGTATCGACTTAGATAAACTAATGCACGTCTCAATTATAAAGTTCACCGAAGTGTTAAAATGGTGTGAACGACTATCTTTTCTTTTCTTTTTTTCTTTTTTTATATTTCAGCAGTAATGTGGTGTTCGGGCCGGTCTTCACCTATCTCGATCAATTCACGTCGCTGAAAGATTTTAAGGGGCGCACTCTCTTCAAATCGGCCTCTTACATTCAAAATTCTTATGATGACAAGAATTGAATCCAAAACCGGCGACAGAGCCAGAACGCCTAGGCAGAGGGGTGCAACGGATAAATATACAAAACTTTTCTAAGCCGTAAAAATGTAAAAAGAAAAGAACGGATAAATATATAAAACTTTTCCGAGTCGTAAAAATGTAAAGAGAAAAGAAAAAGGAAAAGGAAAAAGGAAAAAGGAAAAGGAAAAGGAAGATGATAATGAAGTTGCTCAAAGTGTAATGAATCAAACAAAGATGGTTCAATGTATATGAGATAGCTGATCAAATGAAAAAGAAGTAGGGACTCGAACCCCATATGTGCATGCGAGAGAGGCCCCACATCACCATCAACAAATGAAAAGATCAAAAGAGAGGAAAAGCGAGAGAAACTTTCACCAATGGAGAACGGGAGAGAAAAAATCAAAACGAAGATCTCGATCCATGATCGTCATCCATCCATCCATCCATCCTCCCTCCCTTCCTAAAACCCCCCAATAAAAATCCAAAAACCAAAAAGCCTTTTTGGACACAGTCCCAAATCCAATCACCATCGATCGACACCATTGAAATCCCCTCAACTCTCTCTCTCTCTCTCTCTCTCGATCCGTGTCGGGGGCGTGTGTTGTGTATTTGATGGAGAGGAGAGAAGAGGGAGAGGCGCGGCCAATCAAGAGAGAGTGAGAGCTCGTTGCAGCTCCCTCCCCACTCCCACTCACCCCTCCCCCATCCCCACGCCACACACTCTCCCTCCCTCACCGGAGGAGCCAAGACGACGACCCCCCCTTCTTCCTCCTCTCTCTCTCCATCGATACTCGATCCATCCATCCATCCATCCATCGCTCGCTTGAATCCAATCCAATCCAAATCGAACCGAACCCCTCCCCCTCCCCCACAATCATCAATCATCAACCATAATCATGGCTCAAGAGCCCTCCTCCGAAACCCTAGATTCCCCCACTTCACCCACCTCCCTCTCCCGCAGCGGATCCTTCAGTCGCCTCAACGCCCGCGCTCCCGAGTTCGTCCCCACCCCCCGCGGCTCCTCCTCCTCCTCCTCCTCCGCCTCCTCCGCCTCCGCCCCCTCCTCTCGCCCCGATCTCCAGCCTCCCCCTCCCCCTCCGCCCCAGCAGCAGCAGCAGCAGCAGCAGCAGCACCGCCTCTCCGTCCCCCCGCCCCCGCCCCCCGGCGTCCTCCACCCCCACGTCTACCCACCCAGCCCCAGCCCCCCTCCCTTCCACTTGCTCCCGATGCAGAGCCCCTTCCACCACCCCCACCCTCCCCCCGCCGTCCAGTACCACCCCCACCCCCACCACCATCCTCACAGTCAGTTCTACGGCGGCGCGGATCAAGACGCGGCGGTCGTGCACAAGGGACGCGGCGGCGATCACCCTAATCCCAACCCTAATCATCACCAGCATCACCATCATCATCAGCCCAAGCATAAGCAGAAGCAAGCTCCCCCGGAGCAGGATCAGGGCGCCCCCTCCAAGAACGGCATCTCCGATGAAGCCGTCCAGAAGGTTCTCAATCAGGTACTTTGCTTCGATCGCGCTTCTCAGCGGCTCTTTTCTCACTTCGCATTTCCTTACTGTTCTCCTTGCTGCCCCTAATTTTTCTCATCTCCTCTTCACTCCAAGTTCGAATCATCTTTTACTTACCTTCCCGACACTTCGTAAACTTCGAGTAATGCTCTGAAAATTCTTCAATCGCGAGTCACGATGATGTGTAACTGTAGCTCTACCTCATAGCTTATGATCCTGTCTCAGGAGTGCATTCTTCATGCTTATTTCTATGCCTTGGCGTACCCAAATTTCTTTGTACGTGCCACGCATTGGCCCTTTACATACTACAATTTGATAAAACAATCTCTGATCGGCTCTTTTTCATCAAGCCCAATCAAGTTGAAACCTTGACCTACTTGTGCTCTTGGCCAAAATTGCCAACCAGTGACTTAGATATCTACTCGTGATAATCACTGAAGGTTGCAAATTTACTCGAATCCGATTGATTTGGTGCATTTTTGCTTGTCTCTATTTCTTTCGCCGGTGAATAATCTTGCTCTTCTCATGAAAATCCAAATTATGTCCGGTCAGGTTGGACGTAAGTTTTCAATAGTAAGTCGGTTTGCAGATAAATGGGATATGAATAGGCAGTTTTTGTGCAATATGGACTAAGTATGACCTTGCTAATGAGGTGATGCTCCTTCAATCATATCATATGCCTAATCGTTTAGGAAGTGTTTCCCTTTGTGCTTTTTTGCTTATGAATTATGATAATTGGCCCTTACAGCATCCATCTCAACAGCCTATGCCTGGCTGACTGTTCCCCGTGACTGCATGTAGCGGTTCATGCGCATTGTTTTGTTTAATTTAGTTTTGTTCATTTGATATAAGGAGTGTGTCGTTCCATGGAAGTTAATCACGTAGAAACAAAAGCTGCGTTTCCCAATAGTCCTCTATCACATGTTTTATCTGTCCTTCTTGAGGCCTCCTGTGTGTGGAGGCTGTACTTAAGTTATAAATTCCGACAACTTTTAGGGGCTTCACTTTTTCATTTCCCCCACCGTGTGCGGTTTGGGCGGTGGGTTTAGGAGTGAGAATTTCTTGCCTGGGAGAATTGGATTTTGGTTTGAGTCCTTGCACACATCACTTCTTCTCCCAAATCAAACATGTGATTCTTTAGAATCTCAAACTGTTTTGGGAATTCACCTTCGTCGCCCTAATGCTTTGAAAGCTTCCTATGTAGGTGGAGTACTATTTCAGTGATATAAACTTGGCTACCACCGACCATCTGATGAGGTTCATAAGCAAAGATCCCGAAGGATATGGTAAGATCTGTAGCTTTAGGTCTTATGGCCATGTTATTATATATTATATGCAAGTCCCTTGCTCTAATTCTAGGACATTTATGTGTCATAAGTCATTCTTCTGAACTTGTTATATGGTCGCTTAGCTTCTTTGTTGAGTATTTATCGTCGAAGGGGCTCATTCTATCTAGAGTCTTCTTTTCTGGCTGAGGTGACGCGGTACTGATTGCTTCTTCTGTCTCTCTATAGTACCGATATACGTTGTTGCTTCCTTCAAGAAGATCAAAGCCCTCATTACTAGCAATCCCCAGCTTTCTTCTATTTTGCAGAACTCGTCAAAACTTGTGAGTTTCCATTGTTATTTCATGATCTTCTGAAGCACTTTAATTTTTCTTCTGATCTTATTTCTCATTTTTGACTTCTAATTTAATCGCTGCCGACGTGCTGTATTATTCAGGTAGTTAGTGAAGATGGGAAGAAAGTTAAAAGGCGGTATCCTATGACCGAGTCAGACATGGAGGAGCTCCAAGTACGTTTACTTTTGTGGTTCTCTTAAGCTTTACTCTTTTAGTATCTGAGTACGGGCCAGTACCCGGAGAATTAGTTAATTTGGTTGCTCTCTCTCTCTCTCTCTCTCTCTCTCTCTCTCTCTCTGTGGCTGGGTGATGTAGGGGTGGAGTGGATTAAGTTTTTGTTCTGCTCAATTGTATTTACAAGATAATTGGTGTACAGTCCCTTTTTTATTTTAATGTTCAGTTCTTGTCGTGGATGAAGCCACTGTCTCTTGTTGTTCGCTTCCTTTTATCAAGTGATCTGATAGGCCATAATTGTTCAATCAATCTTATTTACTCTATTTGAAAAATGCAGTCACGAGTCGTCATTGCAGAAAACCTACCAGAGGATCATTGCCACCAGAACCTTATGAAACTTTTCTCTGCAGTTGGGAGGTAGTGAAATCTTTTCACAGGAAATTGTGGCTGCAAAAATGACTTTTCTTTTAATAAAGTGTCCATCTTCCTAATACTAGAGTTTGATCGAGCCATATTTTTTAGTGTGAAGGCAATTCGTACCTGTCAGCCTCAAGCTTCCAATGGTGGAGCTTCTTCAGCACCCAGAACAGGAAAGGTTGATGGCATGCATTATACTAACAAGGTATTCGCACGATCTCTCAGGAGATGAACGAGGATTTTCAAATGATTTATCATTGTCTTGATTTTCTTCATGTTGTTTAACTCTAATCACTGTAGTGGTAGGTCCTCTATTTTGCTTGCGTGAGAGTCTATAGCAACTTCATGCATTATTTCGTTTTTTGTTTATATTCTATATGTAGAATCATGGATTGATGAAGTGTCTGGTGGCTTTTTTCTCAGTGTTCATTTCTTTTGGGAATCAACAAAGATAACCATCTGCAGTCTATTTCGTTGAATTTTGATCAAGCATAATCAATAATCTTTTATAGTTGAGGATGCTCATGAAAGTTTAGGGCCTGTTTATTTGGACTAAAGTAAAAGCAAAAGGTACTTTTTTTATTTTCTGCCAAAATTTAAAATATTATTCAAATTTCAATCTATAATGAAAAATCAAATATGAGTCTATGTTTCATCATGTAAGTGCTGTGAAAGTTTAAGGAGTTTCAGATTGAAAAAGAATCGAATTTCTTGAGCCGTGAGTTTTAGATTAAGCAAAAAGTAGAAGTTAATCCGTCCTTAATATCTGACATTGTATATTTTATGCAGTTGCATGGTACTTTTTTTATTTTCTGCCAAAATTTAAAATATTATTCAAATTTCAATCTATAATGAAAAATCAAATGTGAGTCTATGTTTCATCATGTAAGTGCTGTGAAAGTTTAAGGAGTTTCAGATTGAAAAAGAATCAAATTGCTTGAGCCGTGAGTTTTAGATTAAGCAAAAAGTAGAAGTTAATCCATCCTTAATATCTGACATTGTATATTTTATGCAGTTGCATGCTTTTGTGGAATATGAATCTATCGACCTAGCCGAGAAAGCAGTGAGTACTCCATCTATCAATAAGCTGCATCATAATGTATAATGTTCTCATCATAATTAAAATGTACATGTCCTATTATTGCAGGTTGAAGAGCTAAATGATGAGGGGAACTGGAGAAGTGGCCTAAGGGTCCGTTTAATGCATAGACGCGGGGTATCTTTTCCTCTTTTTCTTCTTTAGTTGCAGGAAAGCATTAGTTTAAAATTTAAGTAAATCTATGGTAACAATATAGGCAGCCATCTTTTTTAAAATCTTAAAATGACCACATTCAATGCTGCCTGTACCTGTTTTGGCTGAATAAATGGCGCTTGAAGCTTGACAAACGTATATGATGTGAAAAGAAGAAAAAATCGTGCATAGAGAATTGCTGATAAAAACTGACATTTTCCATTTAGGAATCTAGGGTCTGTTCATCCTTTTTCTTGGCTGCATAAAAGCCACTTGCCACTCAACTGCTTTTGTTGCAAAAAAAATCTTGAATACGAATGAATGTTAAAGCTGACATTTTTCATTAAGATTTCCAATGTCAGTTCATCATGTTTTTGATGGGATAGATGCTACTTTCATGCTCACAGTATGCTGTGCAAAAAAAAAAGAATGAATATGACTGTTAAATGATTACATTATTCTGTTCGATCAGTCTTAGTTCAATGCAGTTGGGATGGCAGATTTTCTATTGTTCTTAGAATTTTTTAGTTCAAAGCCTCGATGTTCCACTTCACTTCTCATCCTATGCATGGTAATATCTGCTGCAGTCTTGCTGAATGCTGGATGACAAATACTGGGGATCGTCACTTCATTTTGTGTTACATGCATGCCTTAATAAAATTTGATTGAAGATTTGTTTGGCTTTAATGCACTCTGCTAAACTAGGATAATTCATCTTTGTTGGTTTTTCCTGTTGCTAGTCAAAGCCCTCTCAAGCACGGGGGAAGAGACATGATGGAGAAGAACCCTGGGAAGAAGAAGATGCTTCTATATCTGAGCAACAACCATCTGAGAAACAACTTGAAGAGTCTTTTGAGCAATCTGATGCTAACTTCCAGGGGAATATGGTGAGTCTTGACTCAATCTTTGTCAGTGTGACACAATGCTGCAATGATTATTAATCTTCATCAACGTAGAAATAGTTGAATTGCTGTGTATTAGGCCTTTTCATTCCAGATATAAGTTTATTGGGCTATGGGATTTTGTTGTGGGAATACCGTTGGGTGAATCAGTAGATCTACTTCTTTTGACCAAAAAAAAAAAGAGTAGATCTAGTTGTGATGAAAAGGTAAGATGTTGAATAGGTAGGAACCATCCCTTGTTCTGAGAGGTGTCTTATGTATAAGGTTCATGGTTTGTTTTGGAGAAACTTTAGAACCCAACTATTTGTAGTTTGGAATTTTTAAAGCACAAAAAAAAAAAAAAAACCAAGCCTATTAAGGTGACTTCCAATCAGATAGAATGTTTCACTGTAGTTACGGTCGGTTTGGTTTAAATTGTCTATTCTAAAACTAAAATGGTGCAAAAGTTAAATCGCAAATTTGGAGCTTCGGTTGACTTCTGTATCGAGCACTTTTTTCTGGTTGAGGATCGGTTTGAAAACTTGGATGCCATGATAATGCAGGGGGAGGAGAATGCCACCGATAGGGAGGGTGGGCAGAGGAGAGGGCGGGGCCGTGGCCGGGGAAGAGGGCGTGGAAGAGGTCAATACCATCAGAATAATCGGGGAAATCATTTGGGGACACCTTCTATGAACAATCTCACCAGTAATGAGACTGCAACTGTGGCTAAGCAGCCTCCGGGACCTCGCATGCCAGATGGAACAAGAGGATTTGCAATGGGTCGTGGGAAGCCAGTCTCAGTTAGCACCACATGACCACGTTACCCGATTGAACTTTCAACTGCCACGGGGATTCACCAAATTGCATATTAAGAGGGATCAGTAGTCGTCGTCTTGTGTGTGGTGTTGAGGGCTATCAATCCATGTGAGCTCACGCCAGGGTTGGTTAAAAAAAGGATATGTTCTACTGCAAGCTTCTCTCATATTTTTGGAGACGATGTACCGGTCCAGAACTACTTTATATTCCTGTTCTCGGGCTTTTATCATGTAGAAAGGAAAATACAAAAGTAAAAAGAGCATGAAGTGAAAAAGCAAAAAACAGTCCATGAACGTTTACATAGAAATATAAGGGTTTGCGGAATGGCTTTTCTGAGATTTTCGCTTTGTCTTCGTCACTCGTTTATATTGTAGCCGATGCATTTGGCTCTTATATCCTCTCTGCGAAGACTTCGGAGTTATTTTAAATAAATTATGGGAAAGTAGAGGTTGGATTGGAAGCGTCAGACAATGGTAAGAAAAGGGAAATCAGTTAGGGGTGAGCAAGGTTTGGGCGGGCGGTTCTCAATTGGAACATGGAACCGCCTGTTAAGGATTAGTTCTGAGAAATTGGAATCGAGAGCTACTCGTTGGTTTCATGGATCTACCTAGGAATCGGACCAGTTCTGAGAAATTGGAACTGAGAATCTATTGGTTCTATGGATCCACCCAGGAACCGGATCAAGGATTAGTTCTGAGAAATTGGAATCGAGAGCTACCCATAGGTTTCATGGATCTACCAAGGAATCGGACCGGTTTTGAGAAATTGAAACTAGGAATCGCCGGTCCGGTTCCTAGGTGCATCCATGGAATCAGTCCTATCAAATTTCACGCAAATGGAGGTGATTGAGAGCGAGAGATGGAGGCGATAAACAATTAGAGTCCGATTCCTAGGTGGATTCATGGAACCGGTCCTGCCAAGTTTCACTAAAAATGGAGGCGACCAAGAGCGAGAGAGGCATGCGATAAACGATTAGAGGCACGGCCGTGAGTTAATGGGAGTTAAGAGTCGAGCTTTAAATTAGGGATTTTATGATTTTCATTTTTCTAAAAATTTAGTTTTTTTTGGTTGAAAATTTTCTTAAAAATTATATACAAGTATATATATATATATTACCGGCCCGAGTGGGCAGTTTCACGCCTAGAACCGGGAACCGGACCGGTACTCACCGGTTCTAGTAAATTAGAACCGAGAACCGAATCGGTCCTCATAGGAACCACCGGTTTCCAGTCGGTCCGGTCCGGTTCCGGGCAGTTCTCGATTTCTTTGCACACCCCTAAAATCAATGGAATGAAAAGTCAAACCGGGAGTATACAGGCTTCTTCAAGCCATTGCCCTCGGGCAACTGATATTTGCGATCTAATTTGATTTGTTATGAAGTCTCAGTTCCGCTAGGCACTAGTTAAATAGTTAGATTGAGAAGTAGAAATAGGCAGCGTCAACCCATTTGAACCGAGTTACACATCGATCGAATTTCCAAATACACATCTCCTCGAATTTCCAGCTTGAATTCATACAAGCCTCGACACGAATAGAAGAAAGAAAAGTCCAGGCTCCAAAACTTGAACATCGCATAACCCAGTTTTAAGCATCACGTAACCCGAAGCTAGATCCGGATTTTCTCAAGAAAAATGACAATTGTATTTGTGGTTTTGTAGTGCAGAGTTAGGGGTCAGGGATAGTCCACGAGTATTAGTGTGTTCCCATGATTTCGTTTGTCATCAATAGTGACCCTCAATTTTGAAGTCGGGAAAGATGATATCAGAGGATATAATTGATGTTCAGTTTCACACACCCACCCACGCAGCTCTAATGAACCTGCTTACATGGTCCATCTTACCCAACCTCCCCTGTGATGGTTCAAATGTTGCTACCTGCCATAGTCTCCGACCAAACATCCTATGATATCTTATGTAGTAGTAGTAGTCATCATAGCAGAACATAGACGAAGTGCTCTAATGAAGGCAACTGTACATAGCGCCGCACATACAGAGCCAGCTCCAGATGAATGACTCCGATTTGCCTCCCTGAACAATGCGTCTCCTGCGCATCTCGCGATCACCTCAGTAGTCTCCTATCATCATCATCATCATCACCATACAATAGTAGACTTAACTTGCATTGCATCTTACATTACCCTCACATGATTTATCCATACACCAAATGCATCTATTTAATATCCATGTCTAGTACGATAGGCCACTGCATGCACTGAATTGCCGACCTCACAGTGCGTACATCCTCTTGTTTCCACTGTTGAGTATATCAGGTTCAGAAGCCACGGACATGGAGTAAGAGCGGCTCTCTGCCCTCCTAATGTTCCTCAACTTTTTCTCCTCCAATCTGTGCATAACGACACAATAGCACATGGACCCAATTGTTGTAAGCATAATAGAGCTCCCGATCAACGTTGCACATACAGCGAGCCACCTTTGACTTGAACCCACTACAACGTAACTGAGAGAGATGAATGCGATGGAGATGAAAAGACATGCGAGCCACATGAGCTTGTTAATCACAAACACAAGCTGCCGCTTTGCTTTCTCCTCGATCACCACCACCGATGTTTGAACCACGACGACAGCCAGTGAGATAAATAAGGCTAAGCTGTCGGAGATAAAGAAGATAATGAAAGGCGACTTTTTGGCGATATGGGCTTCACCCACTGAGGAACCATCGGTTTTTTCCTGGATGTACTGACCGGGTACAGTGAATATGGCAGCAAAGGCTACGGTAGCAATTAGAACAGCAACCACAGTGGCTGAGTTAATGGCATTGTTGAGGCCACTAATATGTAGCTTCTTCAGCCTTTTCGCTATCTTCTGGACCTTAGCACCGGTTTGACGTGTCTGCTGGAGTTGAGATTGGACATCATGCTTAATGTCACTAACTGTCTGCTTAAGTTGCTTCGCAGCACTCGGAGGTTTTCCAAAGTCTTTGGAATGGGAGGCACCTGCTTCTGTTAGCACAGAGACGAGTTCTGGAGTTCCAAATTTTTCTGCGATATCAAGTGGGGTCTCCCCAGCCTTGTTGATTGGATTTAGGTTGATGCCTTGGACCGATAGTAAGCACCGCACTATCTGTGAGAATTAGACACGGATATGACAATAATTAGGATAAAGCAAGGAATCCACACTCGTTTCATTGTAAAATATAGGCACTCTTTTGTTCTTTTCCCCCTTTGTCAGAATGATCCATTCACTGAATTTATTCATGGATTGCTCAACATATTGTTTTTTTTTCACAGGTAGGCTAGGATCAAACGCAAATGGTTGACAAATCCAACAGGAATACATCATACTAGATAGACAACTAAGAAAACCCAGAATGCCTAAGTACTCTCGCAAATAAGAATAATTCAGATGCGAAAATAAAAAATCCAGTTAAATCAGCCAAATCACATGATTGCAAGCAAAAAAGTAAAATATTATTACAAAAACAAATGGGAAACTCCATCCCCCATCCCTGAGCCATGAATTATATAAGTCAAGGGAGACCCAAAGTGAAACGACTAAAGTCAGGGAAAATTCAATACTTTGCGGAGCACTTTACAAAACGATTTTTGGTCGATAATAAAGAATTATAAGTGTTTTTTTGTTACCTAAAATTGAATATCACCTTTCACATGGACAAATGGCAGAACTTTAGAGACTGCTGCTTTGTGTTTCTGCATTCTAAAGTTATTGGCGGTGATGGAACAATTGGAGATTTTTTTGGCCATATGAAGTGAAACACATGATTTACAAAGTAAATGCAGCTTCACTACAAGTTCTCCTGATTTAGAGACATATTGGAAGTTCAGTCACATTTTAACGACATCTTGACCACTGGTGCCTTTATTTTGATCAGAATTTGCAAATCCTAATTACAAGATATCCATTTCTCAAGGATTGAGTCAATGCAATCCAAAACAAACGTAATCTAATGACGGAGTTCCTCAATGTAAGCAGGCGAAAAATTTGCATCTGTTGTCACACCAACTCCAAGAAGGAATTGCCTAAAACCAAAATTTGTTTGACAGTGTGAGCATTGACCAGGTCCTGATACGTCAGGTATTTTTTGTGGTTTTTGGCCATGAAAAGTTTTTGGGGGGATCTTTATGCTGGAATACAATTTGATGGGTTTTATAGGGTACAAACCTGTATGCGACCCTTCCTCGTGGCAATGTGCAGCGGTGTATTTCCTTTATTATCCTCCGAACTCAAAACCGAGGGATCGGGTTTTATCAATTCAAGGACAATCTCCTCATTTTGCCCTTTCACGGCCATGTGCAGCGCAGTTTGGCCTTTTTTGTCTGTCCTAAAGCCACTGCTTGGGTCCTTCGTTAACAGGGACCTTGCCACTTCCAAGTGACCCATCCTAGCCACGGTGTGCAGCACACTTTTGCCATTGTTTCGAGCAATTTTGACGAGGTTCGAGTGAGTTTCTAATAGGAGATTCACCACATCAGTGTGACCCTGAGCGGCGGCTGTGTGTAAGGCAGTTGTGCAAGAAGAGTCCGTGGTCATTGCCAAGTTGGGAAATACACGCAATAGTTCTTTCAACACCTCTGCAAGAAAGTTTCTTTTGGTCAGGTAGGTTATAGTCTAGAACAAGTTATCGAATCCAATTGTAAGATCCAATTAAGTGAGACAAGTATAATCAGGCATGTAGTGAAATGACAGCTAGAAAAAGATAGATACAAGAGGATTTTATCATTAAATAAACTCAAACGATGATGAAATGATAGAAATGTTGACCAGATGACTGCTCAGCACTTGCACATTGGCATTGCACTCCTCAAAGGGAGTAACAAATCTCACAACCCAGTAGTAAAGAGAACTCAAATGTCGAATCAGCTAAATGAAATAAAGATGACTACATGGACAGAGGAAGGAATATTTCAAGCATTTCTTCAGAACAGCATAGGAGTAATAAGGATCATGTGATAATTACTTACAGGGAAAACAAGAGGGCCAACCAAGCTTCACTCTTATTCAAAGATGGGAAACGAGTAAGTAAGCGTACATCTAGGCACACTCAACTTTGCATGAAGCAGCAGTTAGAGGACAAAATCGACCAGAAACAGTTGAAAAATTGAGCTCCAAGAGTTAATGCTTCGGTTATTTACAGCTCAAATAACCGTACATGAAAGGATTGAGGCAGATTTCTATTGGTGAAATCAGGAAAAAGCTACATGCTTGACAAGGAACTGCAGAAACCAACTGGCAAACTGTTACTCGGGCAACCAAAGAATTACTTGGGCCTAGTGGGATGCTCCAAAAATTTGCTGATAAAGTGTTAGTCTGCTGGTAGAAAGGAATTATGATGAGGGTCTCCTTCAGCTCTGTCACTGTGTA